GGGTGAGAAGAAACGACCAGAAGTTACCTTCCCAGGACCCCAAAACACCCCTTCCATGTAGCCCTGACTTATCCACATGGATAATTGTTTCTGTCTTCTATACAGTACAGTTTTACCCATTGGTGATGGCAGGCTGTCTCAGGGGTGTTTAGTAATGAAAAATCTCTCAACTCACTCATCAATGACCTGTACGCAATCATCATCAATGTTTTACACCCATTTTCCAGGCTTGCACGAGTTAGCCTCCATTGCCTGATGGCAGCTCTATTTGCTGCGTGACCTCTTGCAGCCTCTCATTAGGTTTTCAACTTGGCCTACCCCTGGTTCTCCTCCCCTCCACATTCTGACTTATGTATCCCTTGACTTACCGTACAGTAATTGGTTTTCATTGTCTCCACATGCCCAAAGCACCTCAACCAACCTCTACCCCAAAACTTCACCCATACTGTACTCTCAATACCCAGTCACCTTCTTATCTCTGAATAGTTTCCTATCCTTCAACTGCACTACCTCACATGGTACTATGTCAAATGTCTTCTCAAAAGTCTACAAAATACAGCTATCTCTTCTTCCCTGGACATTCTAATTCAGTAATACAGTACAGAAGTCTGAATTAAGAGAAGTAATAGATTAGCATTTAAATATTTTGTTTCCTGTGGTAACTAATTAAAGAAGTGGCTGGAGTTTACTCTGTATATAACAGTTGACAAACATATTCATCATGCTATTAAATTAGGCATTCCTGAGAATTCACTTGGGACAAAGCCTCTGAAATAAAGTTGGCCTAGAAACATCTTACTGGGAGCAATAAGGAGAGTGAATGCAACAAAGCAAGCAACAAGAAACGTTCAACTTACATAAGAATAACGTTATTTAATCTATGGAAACTATACAGAATTTCCTATCTAATAACTTTGTGTCAGTAATACAAGATGGCAACATCAATAGTACAGTACAGGTATATTGAACAATCAGGTAGTGACTTACCTAATTCAAACGTCAATCTTTTCCCTCAGACTGTGTGGACTGTGTGTGTATTGCATTCAATTCTGTGTCCATACACCACCCATACTGTACGCTAATAAATACAAATACATAGTGCAAAAGTGTAGAAACACAAGGTATGGTATCTAGTAATAAAAAAAAGGCTTCCAAAGTAGTGGAGAAGCAGTGTTGTGTAGTGTGAGCAACCCTGAAACATATCTTCACGTGTTAATAACTGTATACAAAGAAATTCAGTTCAGTACATATCTCAAAAAATACAATTGATATATCAAGTAGCAATAAGTAAGACACGTGATGGCCATAAGAGTTAACGTGCACCAACATAAACAACTCATGCACCAGCAACACTCAAGAGGTACAGTATACGGCCATAAGCACTTGCCGGATTTCATGACCTGGCCATGATCTGTCGAGTTCCTCTGCTACAGCACACAATAACCCGGGGAATAAATCTCCCAGTAACTTAGACTTATATGTGGAATTTAAAGTTCTAAAGGACAACTTTTTACCAAATTATTACTGAATTTATGAAGCTATTCTTTTGTCCTCATCCGTATCAATCTGCAGTATTACAGGTATCTGGCTTATCTATACATATATATATATATATATATATACTGTAAATATACATGCTGCATAAATACACAGTATATGTAAAGTATAATACATTTCCCCTTCCTGGCCCTCAACACTTGGTTTATGAAACTTCCAGTAAAGAAATGTCACCAAAACACTACAGGAAGTATTCATAATCTGATCCTAAGTTTATGAGAGGAGCATCAGCGTATAATAGCATTTAACACTATATACTGCCATCTGAACAATAGTTAAAACACTGATGCTGTCTACAGGCAAATAAACAGACAACCTACGGGTAAGACTTAAGTTCCCTTCTGGTGTAACCGGGAGGAAAATTAAATGTATTGATGTCATTTCCTATAGTGATGTCACCTCCTAAATAGTTTAGTTTGTTGTACAAGACTAGTATAATTTTACAGACAGAAGACATCACCCTAATAACCTACATTACTTTTCAAATATCAAGCTAATCCTGTAATGTTTATAGTTTTAACTTGTGAAGAGACGACTTATGTAGAACTCTCATGACTAGTTAATACTGAACCTCATCTGTTTCCTCGTTACATAATTTCCACTACTGTATGTTAACAAAGTTCAAACACAAGACTAACATATCTAACGTTAAAAGATAATTTTAAACTCATTAAACTAACTTCCACAAGAGGCCAGTCACACCAACCCATCAAAACATCAAGAAAGTAGATGAATATTAAAAACTGATACAACTTTATTGAAAAATTTCTAACTGTTTATATATTTTTCTAATCACTGTTCACTTCTGTATTCATATATAAGTATGATGCTAAAAACAAGTCAAGTCACCTACTGCAAATATAGCTAGGCTACTTATCTTCTAAAACACCATACAATACACTACACTACAGTACTCACAGTCACTGTCACTGCGGCGAGACGACTCGGAGGCATAAAGACCAGGGAACTCTTTCTCTACATCGGGACTCTCAAAATCCATATTGGACATGACTACAGTACACGTGAGAAACCATACAAGGAAGCTGTGAAAAGCTTGGGCGTTACAGTAGGTGGTGAGGGTTTGATGGAGTACAGTAGTCACCTGGAAGAGATGTTTTGTATCATCAATTTATTATAAATACAAATGATAATATCTTAACATGTACTATATAGTGCATAGAGCAGATTAAGAGTTAAACTTTCCACAGTGACATTGAAGGAGGATCTTCACATCTCTGACTGTATTAGAGGGGTGAGGGAGAGAGAGATGGTCACACATACACTGTAGGTAAATAACTTAGTGATGGACAGGAACTGAGGTATTAGGTGGTATCATCTGAGGAGCTAAACAAACACACTTAATAATTCAGAAAACAGAGAATACAAGGAAATTCCAATACTGTATATAAGAGAGACTTGACACACTGCCCCCAAAACAACACTCTTAGTACAATATTCTGAGATAAACATTTATGATCTTTTTAATGTTTAATACTTCAGCTATTTCCCCCCAAAATTATAAGTTACCCGATACTACTTTACAAGAGGTGTGCAGGTAACTAGTATCACAAGGAAACTTTACATACTACAGTAGTATAAAACTTCCTTTTCTCAAGAAAACCCCCCAAATTATGGAGAAATAAATATTTACCTTACCTAACCTAACCTAACCAAAAAAGAACTTAATGACTCTCATATATCAGGATACACAATTATTCCAACTAAACTTATAAAATAAAAGCACCTTGATGTTGTGATAATAGTAAACACAGGCTGGCACCAACAATACAGTACTATACTCACATAAAAAACAGTAATAACCACTTCAAAAATATTATACAATACAGTGTATGTACAGTGATATTTTCATTAGCCGGAACAACTGGTGCAGAGCACTTCCGGGAATGAGGGATTTCCGGGCAAAGAGACTACTCTCTCAAAGCAAGGAAAACACTCCCACATCCCCGCAATTTTCCGGGTAGTTGGAAAATTTTCTCAGAAGTTTCCAGAAAATGTGCCCCACGGAAAATTTCAATTCCGGCTATCGGAGAGTTCCGGGTTTGAGGGATTCCGGCTAACGGAGATATTACCGTATTCATTTTTCATTGAATAAGAAAAATCATATCCTCACCACACAGTCAAGTCAGTTATAGTGTACTGTCTCCACTGCCACGCTACACTGGCTACTGTAAAGGAATCACTGACGCCATTATTGGTACCAACAAATGAAAAACAAATCGGTCGTCTGGAATAACTGTTTGTTTACTGGCAGAGAATTATAAAAGAAAGTTGTAACACCTTTTTCTGTAACATTACCAGCATTTCTAGTTTATGCTTTTGGCTTAATTACTACAGTGGTTTAGGATTTTATGCTTAATACAGCATCATGACGGTAACATCAATCGCCCAAATAATCCATATCCACTCTTTAGTAAATTTCTCCGAGCACCAACAATCCACACTGTATTGATATATGGAGAAAGTTTTACAAGATGGTATCTAACCTAACCAAACTGCAATGATCATTAGATAAGGTTAGGTCAACTTGGGTCAGGTCATATGCAGTAATGGACAATTCACTTGACACTAGTTCACATTTCACCAGCTTTTCCTGTATATAATTCCACATTACCGACATAAATTAACAGGACATATTTTCACCTAAAGCTTTCATATATTTCAAGCTGTATAAAACAATTAAGCTCTCGAGTACACCATCACCCCCCAGACAGACAGCTTGACACTCTACAACCAGGCATAACTTACACAAATAATGACTATTTAACACAATAATCCTACTGCTTACACACAATCCTTAAACCCAACAGTATAATAGTGAAATAATTGAAGAAAATAATAATTAAAGACAGTATATAAAGCCGACAGTAGCCCCACCCCCTTCCTCAACACCTGGACCCAATCACTTAACCTCATTTACAACATTCTCTCCATTAATCCACATATACCAACCATTATATAACATCCTCTATAGTTACATAATATTATATACATACATAATAGAGTAATACAAGTAGAAATAACTCACTAAATCACATTATAAAAGCTGCAGTAATATTTCCCTCTCAAGGTTAACAGCTGACGCCCCACCATACTACCCAAGGACCATTATACTACTACTACTACTAAATCTTCCTATAATCCATTACAATTAACTTTATTTATATAATATACAAATAGAGTTATAATTTAATTGATTATAATGTTTAAAATAATGATGATGGTTGGGTTTATTGGTGTTAATAGTGGTGAGATAAAGTATGAATGGTCATTTGAGTTATATTTCTTATTTATGATAATTACTCTATTTTAATGATGAAAATAATATTGTAATATATAATTTATGAGGTATAGTATATAATTGTATGTATTAATTGTGTTTTAGTGTAAATAAATGGAGTTGGAGGTTAGTGTTTACAAGGTGGTGGGAGGAGGAGGTCTCAGAGGCGTCCAGGGACACATTATACTTTTTTTTCCCACTGTGTCGCTCTATTTCGTCTTAACTTCGATGCTATGGCTAATTCCCAAGATGCTTATTACCTCTCCTTACTAGCACTGGCTGAGAGGTTCCGTACCCAAGAGCCTGCTAATATTAAGAGCTGTGTTCAGTGTCTCCAAGCAGTCCTGACCTTCCGTCCCCCCCCTAAGGTAGAGGCCCGTACCCACCTCCAGCTGGCCAACCTCCTCATACAGTACACTAATAACTCCCAGCTGGCTCGTGACCACCTGGAACAAGCAGTGAGTAATATTATTGTGTCTTGTCTCTCACCTGGGTAGTGTCTCTCTCACCTGGGTAATGTCTCTCTCACCTGGGTAATGTCTCTCTCACCTGGGTAATGTCTCTCTCACCTGGGTAATGTCTCTCGCTCTGATATTGTCTGTGTCTCGCCTGCAAATCAAGTGCAGGCATTTCATACTCTTGCTTGTAATAGTTAGCAATACTAGCACACCTACACCACCCGGTCTCAACTAGTTTTTTTTTTATTGAAGACAACATTTAATGTATCGAGAAAATTGTAGATGATTAATTCTAGTTTTCATATTTTTGTTTTCCGGAGCTGTTATAAATAATGGTCTTTATCCCCCACGTTGAGCTGACACTTGATCAGTTATTGAGAAACAAACTCATACTGTCAGTTGATAATTTATACGGATAAGTTGAGTCAACGTAATCTAACCTAACCTTACCTAACAGTGATGTAATATGGTATACAGTATACATAAATATAACTTGTTTAGGTTAGGGTAGTTTGGTTCGTCTTAAGACCTAGCAGTCACTGGAAGCGTATGTGTGAATGCAATGGTCACTGGAAAGGTTTGTTATGTATAAAAAATTAAATTTACTCCAAAACATAGTTTAGTGTTCAGAACAGAAAATGTCGGCAAAATAACAAATACGAAACTGCAATTCCTTGACAGTATTTTGTTTTGTGTATTTTATCCAATCACCACCATTTTTATGCTTCGTAGTGTTAATATACAAACACTTCATATAAACTTTCCATATGAACACTACCGTAAGTAACTGCTACATTATACTGTACAAATAATCCATGATAATTTTAATTAACCTTATTGGAACACCCTAAGCACATGATGTATGATAAGTGGAACAGTCTTTCGCATCATCATGTCACCAACACTCGAAGCACAAAAATGGAAATGGCAGAATGTAACGGTACTGTACCTTTAATTAAGGAAGAAAAACTACTGAAAAACAAAGTAAAAGAAATTACAGCTCCTGCACTTAATTTGCAGTGTTCCTCAAGGTAAGAATGAAGCTGTCCAATACATTACAGAACTTGTTGTTGAGATGTACAAGAGTGATTTACGGACAGTATTACTGAGATTACAACAGCTGTATGATTACCCCAGTGTTGGCTGACTTGTGTACTTTACAGTATTAGAACCCAGATGTGAATTTTAATGATAGAACAAAAAGTATCATTTCATGCAGATGTTATTATATACAATACTCAAAACAAGTGGATCAACAAGGCATAAGGTAACATTTTTAGTACGTCTATAATACTTGTATGTGCCCACACCTTTGTCGGCATCAACAGTCTCGGATAATCTAAGAGTACAGGTAGACTCGAGTATTGGATGACTTACCAGTACTAATATTAATAATTCATTGACTGATTTTTTTTCCAACAGTGGAACCTTTCAATGAACATTGCCGGGTTTGATGACGTACGATTTGAGGCAGCAAGTGAATTGGCAAAATTATACGAACAAGCCGGAGGTGCTAGTAATACCAAATCTCTTCTGCGTCGAGCAATTGAGCTCTCTCGCCAGAGTGTGTATTGGCATTGTCGTCTGATCTTCCAATTAGCTGTAAGTTATATTTCATCATTTTACTTAGAATTAAATATTCTATTATTACAGCAGTACTATATCCTGGAATACTGTAATGTACAGGTATTCCACTTGTAACTACAGGTTGCAGTTGTGTTATTGTAGTGGGAGTGGTGTTTGCTGCTAGTGTGTTTAGTGTGGCATTATAGTACAGTACTGTACTATACTATACAGTACTGTGCTGTACTGTACTCTGTTTCTTACCATTAATGGTAAGTGAGTTGCAACTCCACAAATCATTAAAATTATTCTAATATGAACTGGGCCGAACCTAACTTATGGATAGGCTAGGGTAGGTTGTAATAAATTACCGTATTGCGTGTACTGAAGCTATATTCAAAACTAAGATAAGATGTGAAATATAATTTGTTTTTTTTTTAGTTACTGGGAAAATAAATAAGTTTCTCCTTGAATTATGTTGTATTTTATACTTTTACCATAGAGGCAGTAATAGAGAAGACATACTTGTTTTTGAAATAATTTTCTTCTGTTGTAGAGGAAAATTTTGATTTGTTATTGTTAAAAAGATTAATGTTTAATTAATACATAGAAAAAGTATTTATTAAGGTCATTAGAGTTATATAACTGTACAGTAACTAATCTTTGCAATGTTTTTTACAGCAGTTAGGGTTAGCAGAACTTGACTATGCAACTGCAGGTGGTCTTCTGCAAATGGGTCTTGAGTACTGTCATATCCAGGGCGTTGCTTACACTCAGCTGCTCTTCCTGCTAAGCAAAATCATGGTCAGTATTTGATTGGGTGGGAGGAGACCCATGGCTCTGTAAATACTGTACTAGACTTAAGTATCTTGTAGCAGTGAGATAGGATGTTAACGAGCTAATACTTGTACCACATAATAGTCTTTAAACTTGTCTCACAATAATGAGTTATGTGAAATTTAAATTGTCAGAACATGAGCACATCATCCCTGTGTCCTTAAAGGTGTTAGTTTGGTGGTGATGTTTGTGTTTTATTTTTATTTATGTCAGACCTTTTGAATATCTGTTACTTCACTCATGGGACTTCTGAGTTTTGACGGGGCCGTATAGTAGATTTACTTTCATATTAAACGATAGAAAAATAGACGGAGTGGATAGATAATGTTTTACCAGTTCCTTGCAGTGCTGTGATATGCTAAAGTGGGTCAGAGAACACACAGTTATCAAGAACTGTTTATAGGATGGCATTTTGTATGACTTTCAGACTCACAACTGTCTAGTGAACTCCTGATGATAATTTGTTACAGGTACAGACCCTCAGAACTGTAAACTCTCAAAAAAATTGACATACTGGTACTCTATTAATGCTGGTAAAAATTAATAAATTAATCAAGGTATTAGGCTGTTCATTCAACCAGACAATAATTATTTCTGAATTCTTTACTTCTGGTGAATATCTCACTACACACATGAAGCTGTGGGTTTCAGACGTAAACAACCCCAAGATATGGTGCTGTGTAGGCCTATCCAGGGTACTCTCAAACTTTTAAACAGACTATATTAAATTCTCTCTTTTTATATTACATATGCATGCAATGGGGTTATCTTTATTTTCTTATTTAAGAAGTAAACAAAGTCCAACTGAGCTTGTGTGTGTGTGTGGAAGCAAAACTTGGTGTACTGTATTGTACTGGTAGGCCTGGGGCAACATGAATGACCTCGGACCCAGGAAACCAGAAAATCCTCAAAACCAGTTTGCTTTAATTTATTGGGTAACTCTATTTGTGCAGGTGATGCTATTGGAGGGTCGGGGAGCAGCAGAGGTTCAGACTCTACTCGCTCAAGCTAACCAGAGTGTTGAGCAGTACAATGGAGCCCAGGGTCAGAAGGAGCACCTCAGGGTAAGGAACTTTATATGTCAGTCCCTTATGTTTTAGAACCAAGACTCTGTTGAAACGCCCTTTTTTGACTGATGGATGTGATGAGAGGAGTGTCACTTATTTTAGAGTAAATTTGTGCCTTTAAAATTAAATGCTCATGATTTTTTCCTACTTCCTCCCACCCTTAGGTTAAATCTGTACTTGTCAGACCTGCAGCAGTGACTGAAGTATCATCATCTGTGTTCCTCTTCTGTACCATCCTCTTTCCAACACAAACTACAGTCCACACCCTTGATTGACTCTCTCCCTCACACAGAGTAGAAAATATTGCTCAAGGGGGATAGGAAAAGAGTGCATACATGGGGAAAAGAATGCATACATGGGAAAATAATGCATACATGGGAAAATAATGCATACATGGGACAATAATGCATACATGGGAAAATAATCCATACAAGGGAAAATAAGTCAGACATACTTCAAAACTGTTCTTCTGTTTTTATTTATTCATCTTTCATCATCAGGTTTTCTACTTGGTGCTGCTGGTATGTCACAACCTCAACAGTGGACAGGTGAAGAGTGTCAAGCCAGCCCTCAAACAGCTGCAACAGTCCATACAAAACATCACACAGCTCTCAGAACAGGGTAAGTACTGTACTGTATCTGAAAAGGAAAAGGTAATGTGCGAATTAATGAGAGTGCTGAATTTTGAGTTGATAAATTTTGACATTTTTGAGCCATATATATTTTGGTGGTGGGTGGTGTTTTAATATACAAGGGGAACAAGAGGGTCATGGACTTTGTTACAGTAAAGGTGGTCTTCTGTGACGAACAATGAACCTACTACAGTATCATCGTATGTCTGTAATCATTGTAAACATCCCAGAATACCTCCATAAATTTAATAAATCTTTGCTTGGGTATATTTCATTTGATAATTCCCATCAGGTTTGTATCATGGGTGGTTTCCTAAGCAACCTGTCTTTCCTTCCATGTTTCAGAGCATCTCACTAAGTTATGATATACAATTAATGTCTGATGAGTAAGTACTTCTGCAGTAAAAGTGAAAACTAATAATTAAATAAAAACATTCAAGCATAATGTAATAGTTATTCAGTGTGTTTATTATTCTGTTATGCTGGATGTAACAGTTTTTTTTTTTATGTACTATCAGTGGTACCTTGTTACAAAATGTGTTTGCTCTTATACTGTACTGGTGTTACCTGACAGGAGCTAAGTGAACAATAACTATATGTATTGTTTGACTGTTATTCCAGAGATCATTCCCAGCAGTGGAAGTGAAATGTTTGCCTGGCTGCCACGAGAGCAGCTGTGTGTGTTGGTCTACCTCGTCTCTGTGATGCATTCCATGCAGGCGGGCTACATGGAGAAGGCACAGAAGTACACAGATAAAGCTCTGCTGCAGATTGATAAACTTAAAGGTTAGTGGAATTAAAATAAAGAGGAAATTTTATTAATGGAAATACAGTATATTGTTATTTCTGAGTCACGGTCTCAGAATTGTATAAAGTGCGGTGGCAGTTTTAACAGAAAGTACATTACATTATACTGATATTTTGTATCACTGAGGTAAGTTCATTCCCAGAGTCTTCTCAGACCACAAGTTATCTTCCAACTTTATGGAATATGTCATAATCAAACAAATTGAAGAACACTGCCCCCTTTCTCAGACCCAGTATGGTTTCTGTTCCAGCCATTCATCTGCAGACCTCCTCATATTACATTTTAATTTAAAAACCTTGACTTCACTTTTAGGAAATTCAATCAACTTTATCTAGTTACTTTTAATATTTCTAATACTTTTAACCAGGTCTGGCTTGAGACTCCTTTACAAACTAACCATCTTTCTGTTTCTCTGCTTAACTAGAAAACAGATTACTGTATAATCAAATCAAAGCTTTTATACCATTATGTGGTTTTCAGCTGAAGAGAATGTATCTATCCTGAGCTCACTACAGCTGCTGCTTCTGGAACACAGTGTCATGTGTCACCTCATTATTGGCTCTAAAGCTCAAGCCATCAAGGAGATTGCTAAGGTGTGCCAGCTCCTTCAACAGGATTCCAAGCAACTTCAGGTGTGTCCATCATTAATGCTATTGCAGTATATTTTTTGTGGGGGATTATCGTACGTGTTTTACCTTCTTGGGCTGAACACATCCCTCGTCCTAAGACCAGGGGTGTGTGGCTAGTGGCTCCACCCTTGTGTCTGGTTATCCTGTACAGTACTAAAAAAGAAACAGAATCAAATAACAATGAGATGTTTGAATATTAGACAATTGTCATACAGGACTTATTTATCTAATTAACTTGTATGACTGAACTTTTTACAAATGATAATAACAAATGCTTCAAAGACCAATATTACTCAGATCTTAAGAAATGACAATATCTAATTTTCAGAGGATAAAGTTTTATACACAGTATATTGTTTACATTCAAAGTGTTCTTTCTCTGTACAGGCGCACCGTGCACAACTTCACACACTGTTAGCTGTTTATGCCATGAGTATGAATGACTCCAATGCAGCAGAGATTCAGTTTAATGCAGCTCTCAGGGTAAGTAATCAGTACATTACAGTATATATACCATACTTCAGTAAAATTTGTGCCCTGAGATTACGACTCGTGAACCCGAAGCAGTGGACTGATATATTATTCTGTCCATAAATGCTTCAGATTCATGAGCTTAAATCTCAGAGTTCGTGGTTCAGGGAGAGAGGTGAATGGACTTTAGTAATTGACTATACATGTAGTGCCCTTCTGGTTTTACTTAACAGCAACCATCAGGTAATCACAAGTAACTCATGCAAGTGTGGAAAATAGCCATAAAACATTGATGGTGATGATGTTATGTTCTTTGAAAGGCTATTTCAAAACTTCATGATGGTTTATTGAAGAACTTTGGTGTGAAGTAACTCAGCCCTATATTTCACTAAGAAGTTAACATCAGTAAAGAATAATTCTCTGGAGGACAGGACACAATGCTGCTGAACTTCATCCCTTTTTGGGGATCTCTTGAATTAGTGTCGTCAAAGTGTTTTGGTTTTAATGAAGTTTCAGAATGTACCCCAGTCACTGTGTCAACTCATGTATCTGGTATCTACACCCACACAGTATATCCAGCTCACTGATCCACACATTACCTAGCTGAGGCACCTGTACACTACATCATGCTCTTGTATGCACACTAACCACCATTTTAGCAGTTCATACATGAATATCAAAACAATGCCTGTACAGTGGCTATCCAATTTGTAGTCATGTGTTTTTATATGACGTGTTGTAGACGCTGTAAGTACAGTACAGTACAGCACAGTATACAGTTTCAAATAATTGCATATTTTGCAGACCTCAAAGAACAGAGATCTATGGATCTTTGCAAATCTCAACCTGGCCGTGGTGTACCTGAGATGTCAGCGGGAACGGGACTTTGCAGCTATTATGGACAGAATAAATCCTGACACACTCCCAACACAATCTCAAAGTTTGCGTGCAGCGTCATTTTATGTTCAAGGCCTCCACGCGTTTTTCACTAGTCGTCATAATGATGGCAAGTAAGTGTACAGAAACTTTTAATTTATTTACTACATAATAGACTCCACCAGTGAAAGCTTTTCAGAGACAGTGGCTACACTCAGCTACTCTTTGCTACTTGTTTAACCCTTTGAGTACAATCAGGGTTAAAAGGGGAGTTCGTTTTTTTTTTTTGCTGTGTGTTTTAGCCAGTCTTTCAACCACATCTCAATCACTCCACATAAGACATGAAAAACAAATTTAATGGTACAGTATCATGTATTGTCCCTGGTGGGTGATTACTTTTACAACTTATTTTCTGTATTTATTTTGTTTAGGTTTTATTTGAAACACGAAACAATTTTCCTACTAGCAGTTGATATTTTTAGTGTTGTTGCTGCTCAGTTGTCTTGCACTTACAGTAGTCACAAACCATCCAGTACCTTTAAAAACAAAAAAAGGTAAGACACACAGTCAAGAAAAATCCTTGCTTGTAATACAGACTTTTTATGTGTGTTATTAATTCACCTGAGCTGATACTTTTGATCTTAGACGATTCTTGCGCGAGTCCCTGAAAATGGCAAATGCTGAGGACCTGAACCGCCTCACATCCTGCTCACTGGTACTCCTTGGACACATCTTCCTGGCCTTGGGAAATCCACGGGAAGCTCACAATATGGTCACACCCGCTATGCAATTGGCTTCCAAGATTCCAGATCTACATTTGCAGCTTTGGTCGTCTGCTATACTAAAAGGTTTGTTGTGTAATACAGTACTTTACTGTACTGTACTCCTGTGTTAAGAATCCACATATATAGAGTGACTGCTAATTGTGGCTTATGTACTTTATAGAATTCAATGAAATCTGGGTCTTGAGTGAGTGACTTTGAGATATATAACTGTACACTATTATCCCTGGCTTTCATTAGTCTGTTAACTTTTTTTTATTTATTAGGCTTCTTTCACATGTTGGAGTGAATGGTCCCATTGAACGACAAAATAATGCTCGTGTGAAAGAGGCCTTATACCGAACACACATTTTTGCAGATTTGTATCGTCAGTTTGGAGACGTCCCCAGGGAGCAAGATAGCAACCAGAACCACTACAATTTCTCTCAGACACTCCTCACTGACTATATGACTGCATCACAGCTCCCTGAACACCAACTAATCAAGTGGACAGAGGGACCCTTTCCTCTGCCTGTCACCGAGAAAATGTAAACAGATAAAAGCACTGTAGGTAAGATAAACAGATGGAAAGACAAGGACTGTAGGTAGGAATGGATGTTCTTGGACACAGTGGAAAAAGTAAAATGAATCGGGAATGAGGAGATGATGTGACTTGGGAACATAATGTGATTAAAAGGAATAATTTTATACAGAAAATTTAGTAACAAAATATCCAGTCCACTTACGCATTTGTTGATAATTACATTGAAGTTGTAGATAAATGGAGGGGTGTATAGTATTGAATTCTAACCATGTGGAGGTATCCTGTTACAGTCTTGAAAAGGCATGATATTTTAAAGCTGTTCTTATTATTATCAGTCAATTAAAACTCATTAAAACAAGATATAACATGAAAAAGTATTGTAATTTTTTGCATAGTGGGCACCTATTTATGTGATATGCCTGAAATATAAGGATGGGTCATTTTTGGGGGGCTAGAAAGGGGAGAGTATTTACAAGGGAGGGAGAGAGACCCGTGTACTGTACCTGGCCAGTTATATGGCTGTTCAGGTACTTAGGTCACTGTGCCTTCATATCTCATTGACTGAATTCAAAGCTTTTTTTACACTGTAAAAATATTTGTCCTACCTGGTGCTGTAAAACTGTTGAGAATGCATTAAAGTTAATGAATATATGATTTATTGTGTTATAGCTGTCAGTTTTAACACATTAGTATCTTTACAGAGGACGCAGTTGTAGAGGTTCTGTCAGCTATGTAGGATGTGAGCAAGAGCCTATGTTGACAGCTGTCCAGGAAACATCAAGATGATAAGATGTACGGTACACTAGAAGAGATATTTGGGGAAGTAGCGGCACCTGTGTTACCTTATATGGAAACATGAAGGTATTAGAGAAGTTTACAGATTTTTTTATAAGTATAATTCTTTTTTTTTTACATGGTTGGTTCAGGATATCAGACATGACCTGTGCTATTGTCACTCACACTGATGGATGCCAGGCACCCTTATAGCCATCTAGCTCTTGCGTGTGTGATGGAGGAATTATGACATTCTGAGTTAACCGCACCGATACATGCTTCAAGAGACCACATTTAGAGCGGAATGCATTGAAGATTTTTCACACACACACACATACATACATACATACATACATATCAGGCCTTTGGGGAAAAAATTTGCAACACACACACAAACAGTTCATAATCCTGTCCTCCTGCTACACACTAGTGAGACAGCTATACAGGCACCATCACATATTGGCAATAACAGTTTCCTTGGCCACATCTTCATCCTGCCCCCAACAGTGCAATTAACTAACAAGAACTCACATCTCACTTTCCCTGTTCCAGATGAATAGTTACCGAATATAACGATCACATTACAGGCGGTGAGAATTAATGTTTAATAAGGCTGACGTAAAGGTTCGTGAAAATTCTCGTTAGCCGCAAGATTGAGAAGATATCACATCGTAAATCCTACAGTAGTTATCAGGTTGCAAGCATAATATATTTAGTAAGATGAACTTGAGAATAACTGTTAAGAGTGTGACCAACAAGTAACTATTTGATGGTTTAGGGATTATTATATATCATCAGATTATTGTAAATGTACTTGATAATAATTCATTTAGTTTTACCTCATTATCATCAATTGGATTCTCATAGAAGTGTAAGAGTCACTGATATGTTTGTTTATGTGTGTGTATAGTGTGCACAGCCACTTGATGTGTATTGGCTTAGGATTATTTTACGGTCAGCCAAGCGATAAACTTCACTTAACCAATCTGCTATACCCTACTTAAGTGTTCCCTATCCTACTTAAAACTTCTCCACCCTACTTAAATCTTCTCCATATTACTTAAAACTTCTCCTCCCTACTTAAAACATTCCTACCTTACTTAAAACTTCCCCACCTTACTTAAAACTTCCCCACCTTACTTACTCTTCATTACACAGTTCAGTTCACCTTCATCAAACTCATCTCAATGTTATCCAGCTGTAACCTAACCTAACACAACATAACCTTATCTGATGTAATTTAACATAACCTAATCTAACCAAACTTAACTTAACTAAACCTAAGTTAGATTATCTTTAAGCTTTACAGAATTAAACTACTGTATGCAAATGGAATAGGCTGGTCTCTCTCTTCAGCTTATGTCACTTGAAGCTTTAGAAAACTTATCCTGTCTGTTATTTGATTTAATCCAACGCTGTTGCAGATTTGAGGTTGGTGCCTTTGATATACATACAGACAATATAAGTGATGATATATTTTTTAGAAGACTGTACATAATGTGTAAATATATAGTTCATAAAAGATTATTTGTTGCCGTAAGTATTGTATTGTATTCTTAATGGCCAATATATTAATTTCTTATAATACAGTAACTGTAGATAATACATAGATTTGTGTATTGTACTGTAGTCCTCGTGTATCTCAAGTTTGCATATTGCAGTTTCAATTTATCGCATTTTAATTCTTATGAACTAAATATTGTATCATCACATGTTCTGTTATTTCCCAGTTTTATTGCAAGAGAAATATTCATACTATGCGCGTGAATCCGTGAGAAGTTTGTAGGTGAGGTGACACATGGTGTGGGGGTTCTTTATGGATGTACTTAATTATTTCTTTACAAATCGTGCATAATGAGATCAAAGAAACCCGTTAGATATCCGCTAAGCAAACCTTGTATCAAGAAATAGTGAAAAAAGGTCATTTTTGAGATGAAATTAGACATTGCTTATTTCTTTGTGTCCTTCTGAACTAAATAAAATCGTCTGGCATTAGCCAAATAAAATATTAAAAGTGGCATCACCATAGTGAAGGGGTTAAACAACATGAACATGGTGAAGGAACAGCAATTGAATGTCGGCGATGAGTGGAACATCATGCATATGCCTCTCAGTTATATTGTAGGCCATATTTCATATATGTTTGTAGTATGCACTTTATGTTCTTTTATCAATTTATAATGGGTTCTGTACGATAAAGCAACACGAGTACAGAATTTCCTCTCTATACCGAAATAACTGGTGAGCAGCCAGTTCAGTATTTAGTGGTAATACTGTAACCCCCCTCCATAATACTTTGTTTCTTATGATAAAATTGGTTTCACATTGTACAGCAATTTTACATATCACGAGGGTTTTCGGGAATGGAAGTCTTGTGATAAACGAGGACTACATGTATATAGGGTAGACATATTACAGACAAACAGCTTTCCTTGCATTATATAAGTACTGTACAGTATAGTGTTAATATGTATGGACATTTTCTACAAGATGTTTTTTATTTTTTTATACTACAGTACCATACACACTTTTTTATAAGGTAAGCAATAATGTGCTCCTCTCTTAAAGCTTTCCTTTCTATGCACTTAAAGCATTTATAAGCTCCTTCATAAATGAATTTGTTAAAGAATTAATTTAAGCATTACCAAAAATTCTGGATTTACTGTATGTGCATAATTTTTTTTTTTTTTTTTTTTAGAAAGCAAATGTTTGATACATTAGAAATGATAAAATAAAGCAAATTCATTTATGAATAATAATACTGTATGAGGCATTGAGTAAGGCAGTGATGAGCCTATCATGGTCCCAGACACCTGACCTTGTTCTACAGAATGGTGTGGGTGACTTGTCATTGTTCTACTTAAATTCCAGCTTTGTCCTGGGGTAGAAATCCACCAACATTGGGCATAAGACAGTGAGGAATGGGTTGGAGTTTTCCTCACGCCAGCAACACTCCCGCACCACTTCACATAACGATACACTAATAATAATACACATCTTTACTTTGTACCATTTATATTTTGTGTTTATTGCTGCATATGTGGTAATGTTTCCCCTGTTGCATTATCCCACCCATAATCCACAGTAAAATACCTACAAAATGAGACCTGGTTCATTTAAAATCCAACAATGTTATGTTTTCCTCCAAGTTAGTTCATCACTGTCTTAGGCAACGTCTCATATATGGTATTTATGTACAAATTTGGCTGCCATTGCCCTGTTTTTGTGCAGGTATTGTCCTTTTAATATGTACAGTGTAGTATTATTATTGGTTGTATTCTAATATATGCAAATTTTGATCTCATTTAAAACCAACATTACTCTGAAAAAAATAAATATTACTGGAGGTTTTTTTATATTACATTATGAGTTCTGTATTTTTGGTACTGTATCAAAAGTATCAGGTATTTGGGGTGTCAGGAATGAGTAAATGAAAGTCAGTAGAGATGTATAAGAGAGTAGAATTTTGGATCACTAAAGGTTAATCCCTTCAGCTTGTTTCACTTTAAGATTAATCACCCTAATACTAACCTAAACTGACCTAAACCAAACTGGCCTAAGCTAACATGACCTAACCTAACCCCCCCCCCCTCCCACCCCCGAGGTAGCAGCATTAGGGTGTTTTAATCATTAGGTGAAGTAAGCTGGGGAGCTAATCATGATGTGATCCAGAATTTTTTTGGGTATGGGTATATTTGTAGAGAGGAGTCAGTCACAATACTGATGATCGGTCTCCTTACTGTGTGTGTCAGTGGGAGACGTGACTTAGGTTGAGAAAAAAAATTCAGGAATTTTATCTGGTAGCTTATAAGAATATGTATTATGAAGCTATCAACAGGGGGGAAACATGAACTGAATCTGTCACAAATATGAATGAAAGAGAGGTGATAGTGTGGGGAAGTTTGTGATATATACTGTATGTATGCCAGTAATGTTGTGAAGAAAGTAGGTGAATGTGTTGTGTAATAAGTCATTGTCTGAATGCTGTACTGTACACTGTGCAAGTGTTAAAGTGTTAAGTGTTAAAAGTTACGTATGTCATCATATTTCTTTATCACATCATTATCAAGACTAATGGGGTGGATGATGGTCTTAAACACATCAATTGAGAGATATGTAGACCTACTTGTGTTTTTGGGTGAAGAAATAAGCTGCCCTTTGTTTGGACTACAGCACAATTAGTTTTGAATGGGTGTAAATAAAGTAACTTTGATAACTGGAGGGAGATGAAAAGTTAAGAGGTTCTATTTTTAATATGAGAAGATATAAATTTGTTATATGGATGTACAGTTGTGGATGAAGAGAATTCAGCAGAGAGGAACAGAGGGTAGGGGTAGGTGGAGACCGTACAGCGTCATCTAGAGATGGCTATTATGTCTCCAGTTTTCTTTTCCATGCCACAGATTTATTTTTATTTTGTTAAATTATGCTGTAAAAAGTTGAATGTTTGAGGAGACTATTCACTGCCTCCCCACTGCAACAATGCCAAGTGTCCATCTACCCTCCCATACACCACTTCCCTCCCTTCCTCCTGCTGAATTCTTTTTGTCCACAACAGTATATGTATGATGAAATTGCTGGAGGTTTAGCTGCAGTTATCCCTCGCTAACCACAGGCTCACCAACTAGTAACTGGAGTTTTGAGTATCCACATTTTTATATTTTGTAGCATACAGATGATGCTTAATGCCTCCAAGTACATGGTTTAGTTTCATACTCATGCAAATTTTCTAAACATGATTATATTACAAACAAAAATGGGCAAAATTTAATACAGTCCTGTAGTTGTATTATGAAAAATTGAATGTTTTAAATATTTCCAGCCGCAATCAACACACTTGCTTAATAATGGCAATGTCACATGGTCCATGTGACAAGCAGCATCTGACATAAGTTACCCCTAATGTTAGGTTTAATATGACCAATATTAATTTCAAAGGGTATGTGAAAACAATATTAATATTTTTTTAATACAATAAATAAAAAAAAAATAATCAAGTTGGTCTATTTATTTAATTGTAAAATAATTATTTATGAACTTTACTGCTGGCAAATGTCATAACTCACTAGAACATAGAACATAAGAAAATAAGGAGTCTGCAATAGGCCGGTTGGCCTGTGCATGGCAGCTCCTGTTGGGAGTTACAACCACCCTCTATCGTCCATGAATCTATCTAGCCTAGAAGCTGCTGGGAGGTCAGCATACCCATTTATCTCACTTTTAGGGAACTCAACTAAATACAGTAGACTGTATTTAATGTTCCATACATTACAAGACTTTAGATATGGCTCAGAGGTCACTCACCTTAACTCCATATTTCTCATTAGACTCGGCCCTCGCCAACCACAGTTTAGCCAACTACGGGAAATATTCTAAAATGTAATCCCCACGGTTAACAAGGGATTACTGTATTTTGTAATACATTTGGGAAGAATGGTAGTTTGGAAAAAGATTTAGAAAGAATTGTGTAACCCCTAATTTTTGCCTGCCTCTGTAAAGTGGAAAGAGGATTGTTCTGCTGCTCTCTGCTTATGTCCCCACAACTCCTGTACACTGGTCTGTATTGGCAGTAACGTCAGCCATGTGATCAGGGATTACTTAGCGTCTGTGTTAAGTGAACCCAGGAATTTTAACACTACCGTAGAGAGATCAGCGGAGACCAGTAGGTAGGGTGGATATTATAGCATACCAGTATATAAATGAAATGATTGGAGGAAGCTTGTGTAACAGATAAGAGTGAGTTTGAGTGGAAGGATTGAGAGTGCGTACAGTATATAAACTGCAGGATCAAGACTAAGGTGAATTTGTATTGACGACTTTATATAGATTACAGTATACTGTACCTTACAGTTTTATTGTTCATATAAAATACTGTACATGTGTTTTGAAACATTTCACTTCATTATGTTTTTGTCCGTATTGAATATCAAATTATGCATTACTATGTAAAACACAGTTTAGTTTGTTCTTTGCAGCCAAATTAATGTGCTAACATTTAAGGCTATATGAATAAGGAGATACAGTGCTGTACTTGAATGAAACAAATGATAATTGCGAACTGCAACATTTGCTATGGTGAATGTACAGTACAGTACTGCATATCAAGATTTTTTGTGTACAGTACTTTACATGCTGACTTATCCACACAAGGTTGGTGCAGTACTGTACATATAAAAAAATTTGTTTCCTTTGTACATCAAACCCAGAACTTCATTTGAATAATAAATTTAAGTTTATACGTTAAACTTAAAAATCCAGAGTTATGTAACCTAAACCTTCTCAGGCTTATAATTACTTTTTTCAAGTACAGTATTGTGGTTTAGCGATTCATATTTCTTTTCTAAAATTCTGCATTTTGGTTTACCTGTTCCCTACTTCATACTTTTTGGTAGTGCAAACACAGGTACATACAGGTAATCTTTGTCCATTCCCCAGGAAGTTATATACACTAAGTTGGCAATTGACAGAATGTAAATGTCTTCAGCAAATATTTTGAGCATCAATATAGTTGGGGCAGTTCTTTTATATATATGCCATCTTGTTCTGAATTTGGGATATAACATACTATACAGGCTTTCCTCATACAACACTGTTTCATTATAATTCTCATTATTTTCGTATAAATTTACAAATTATATTTATAAAACAGTTGAAAAGTTCTTGGTGAGACCATGTGACATATATCGCTCTTGTCCCATCTGGAAAGCAAATGCTGAGTGAGTTAGAGAAGCATATGCTGATTATTACATCACCAATTAGCATCCTGCCCTGCTAGATTTGAATACTTCCTGCAGACATGCTTTTTAACTTACTATTTACCTAAAATGTTCGGGAATGGGCCTACGAGTAATATTGTTGGTAATTTTGCCACCCAGTCAAGGTTAAAGCATCAACATGGATGTAAAAATGCTGGTCATAAGACATGTGGGGCAGTACGTACAGTAGTCGTAATAGCTTTGGTCTTGCTATGTCAATCATCTGAACCATTCTCAAGGATGTAAACAAATCAAGAAGCAGTAAGGTGGAGAGCCAGTTGTGATGTTTGTAGGAGCATGTTAGGATTGATGTCCAGCATTTGTTTTGGCCCATGAGTACTTTTGTCAATAGTACTGTACAATACTGTACTTTTTTATGTCTACTGTAGTGTCATTATGAATGATTTTTTTTTTTTTTTTATACATTTCTTTGGTCAACAGTATCATTAAGAGTGCTATTACTGATGCTAGAGAAACCCCCATAATGTACAGTTCAGTACAGTATATCACTCGTGGGTAAGAAATAGTGTTGTCGTCAACACGTCTCTGTTAGAACAACGTGATGCTAATTGAGCTGTTTTATATCACCCCCTTTTACCATGCAGTCTAGTGATAAGAGGTCCGCCTGTACAGTACATGATGGTGATTGTATAAGTCAACCCTTCTTCTGGTAAACTCTTCATTATATCCTCTGACTTAGCATACTCCGCAAAACTGTCACAGATTTTATGAAGGTAAGAAACCCTAGCTTACTTCACCCAATGATTAAACTCCCCATTGATAACTTGTTCTAAGCTAACTCCCATCCTTTAGCATTAGCTGGGGTTCCTAATCATGATGAGATCCACTGCCACCTGAATTATGCTATATTATTTTTTGGCTTATCCATTTAATCCGATAATCTTTCTGATTTATCTGTTTACAGCATAAATAATTCTCATAATTGTTACCTCATAAAGTAATTCTTTTTATCAAATAAATTTTCTAGACCAGATATAAATCATTGCAGAATCAACAAAAACTAGTTATGTCCTCAGGATTATCCTCTGATGATTCCATTGTGTTTTTGTAGATATAAACATTGTTCTTTTCCTCTTTGCTCTGCTGCAATTTAATCTTATTGAAGATAAAAGATTGTAGAAGTGTTGTGTGTCATGATGTGCTTTATTTGCTTGGTCACATGACTATTATTTTTATCCTTTGAAGTTAAAGGCATTATAAGTTTGCTGATGAACTGTAATTCACATGTAGTGTTTTTGTACTAATTAATTATATTTTCTTGTACATTTGTAACCAATAAGCTGTATGAATACAGTATATGTCAATACAAACTTATCAGTGTCCAGATATTTATAGTCTGTCATCATGTGTGTGGATAATAAAATTCAAAACGGCTGATCTAGTCACAGTACATTTTTCAACTGTTTGTGTTCAAATTTTCATCTACAGTAGTGTGCCACACTATTCTTTATTTATATGTTATATTTAATGATAGAATTCTCTCACCATTTCCATGTTTTAATTTCAGTATACAGTATTATAATTGTATTAAATAAGACTATTTGTAAGGTTGGAGCTTTACCATTTATTAAAGTACAGTAAAGTGAACCATTTATAAAATAAACTTTGAATCTAGTTAAGAAAGATATCAAACTTAAAATCTTTTGTCAAAATTAAATGAAAATCTCCAGCCAGCATTAAGTTTCTGTTCATAACACAAAGACAGCACTCTTTCCACCAACATGTGGTGTCGCTGGTGTCTTGTAACTGAACTACAGGTCAACCGTGTCTTGAATGAGCTGAACTGCTGCTGTGAACTATATGTCTTGTGTACCTGTGTTAAATATAAAACATTAAAACTTATATAAAATTGTGACAAATGCTACATTTTGTCTTTAAACATTGCAATCTGAAACGATGTAATTAAATATACTATTGCAGAATATAGATCATTAGGACAAGTTATTGGCAAAATAACAACTTTTTAACCAGATCCTTAGTTAGCATTTCAAGGAATACCTATACTGTACTGAGATTCTGAAAGCAAAATTAATTTCTCAGCCCAAAATATCACATGCTGATTAAGGATCTGTTAACCAAAATTTGATATCTGGATTATTACTTGTTCAAATGGCTTTTAGAAAATTTTAATTACTTTTCAAAGTCATTTGAATAAGTAATAATGCAGATATCAAATTTTGGTTAACAGAGTCTTAATCAGCATGTTCAGGAGTACCTATACTGAGATTTTGAACAAAATCTATTTTTTTGGCCAAAATGACAAGTCTTATGCCTTACAGGATTTTTGGCCAAAATATAGATTTTGTTCAAAATTTCAGTACAGGTACTCCTGAACATACTGATTAAGACTCTGTTAACCAAAATTTGATATCTGAATTATTACTGTTCAAATGAGTTTTGGAAAATTTTAATTACAGTACATTTGCAATGCTAATTTCTCGCCACTTATGGGTTTTCAAGGTCACTTTTTGGTGCTTGTGTATTATTCTGGATGTACTTAAATAGTTAGGCACATTAAATTTTAGTTCCGAGAGAAAAAGTATTTTTGGCCAAAAATCCTGTAAGGCATAAGACTTACAATTTTTGTCATTTTGGCCAAAAAATAGATTTTGTTCAAAATCTCAGTATAAGTACTCCTGACCATGCTGATTAAGGATCTGTCAACCAAAATTTGATATCTGCATTATTACTTATTCAAATGACTTTGAAAAGTAATTAAAATTTTCTAAAAGCCATTTGAACAAGTAATAATTCAGATATCAAATTTTGGTTAACAGAGTCTTAATCAGCATGTTCAGGAGTACCTGTACTGAGATTTTGAACAAAATCTATTTTTTGGCCAAAATGACAAGTCTTATGCCTTACAGGATTTTTGGCCAAAAATACGTTTTCTCTCAGAACTAAAATTTAATGTGCCTATACATCCAGAATAATACACAAGCATCAATTCAAATGTATAATAATTCAGATATCAAATTTTGGTCAACAGATCCTTAATCAGCATGTTCAGGAGTACCTGTACTGAGATTTTGAACAAAGTCGATGCTATTACTGTTAAACCATTGTACAGTACTATACTTGAGAGACAAGGCTGAGAAACTGCAGATGTTGTTTACGATTCACTGAAATTTTCCCAGGATAATCTATTTACCCAGAATTCACAAGTCGTGTAGGAAGTGAAGCTAAAAAGATATATGAGATTGATTGATTTAAGTTAAACATAATAATTACCAGTACAGTATACCCTTTACATCCAAATACTGTATAGTACTGTAACATGATAATGTACTGAGCTCCTGCCTTCACTAGGTATGTTTATTACCACCAGTTGGGAGGCAACAGAGAGAGAGAGTACACAGCTGATGGTTCAAAATGACATCTACTGTAGATTGCATTCAGACTCTACTGTATTTTAATCCTTCTATCATCTACACCATTGAGAAAATAATGTTACTGTATAAGCTCTTAGGGAATCAGGCCACCAATTTGGGGCTAGTGCAGCAGTATAAAAGGCACTCATGGCATCAGTATACAAGGCACCTATGATGGCAGTATACAAGGTCTATGAATCTACAAACTTAATCTCATTTGTGCTTCTCATATTTCTTACCTTCCTCAGTACAGTATCCATCTTGCATTGTTAATCTTGAAGTTCAAAAAGAAGTTTCAGCAAAAAATTTCACTTGTAGCTAAAGTCTTTATGGATCTCCGTGGAAGTAAGCTTTCAACGACTTTGATAATATTGCCGGTAAGTGGCAGTGGGAAGGGACAATAAATAGTTGCATGTGACCACAACCAAACATCGTACACCCACACATAACGACATTTATACAGTATACTGTATATTATCGTGCATGTTTCATTGGTTCATCATGTACATAGACTGTGCAGGTACACAATCAATGGTTAATAGTATGTTGTTTCAACCAGTGCTAGCCCAAGAAAGTCATTAAAGGCCTAATATCCACTGAGCTCTTTAATTGCTATTGTAGAGACTTCAATGTCATTTGTACAGCCACCTCATCGTACAGTGCTGGAACAAAGACACGTGTTTCCTGTTATCTTATCTAACAAGGTACAGTATGGTAACAAATACTCTATCATATACCTGTACAGTACTACTACATACTTAATCTTATGAGGACCAAGATTTAACCCTTTGGGGATGATGATAGGATCCTTTAAGGATGATGGTTTAATCATTTAAAGATGATGATTTAACCATTTGATGATAATGATTTAACTTTGATAATGATGATAGAACTTTTTAAAGACAATTATTTAATCCTTCAGGAAGTGTGAAAATCTTAAATGGAAGGTTGGCTAATAAATGATAAGTAATGACAAGGATTAAGTTAGGTAAGGTATGTCAGGACGGGACTATGTAGATATACTGTATATAATTGGCTAAATTATGGAGTATTAGTGACAAACTTTAAACAAATTACTGTATACTAAAATTTTCAAAAAACAAATTGACATGATAAAATAAAAAATAAATTTGCTCATCCTCAGTAAAACACAATATTCTAAATTACAGTACTGTACCTGAAAGATTATGGGAATCAAGTTGGACGTATCCCACAATATCTGTACTCATTCATAGGAATCTTCAGTACAGGTATGGGATCATTTATCCAATGTCCTGGTATCCAGAATACTCCAAAAACTGGCTCTTCTGCAACAAATTATTTAAAATGAGTGCCAAAAGTAATTCCCGGACCAAGTGAGAATATATTTCCAACCGTTCCCCACCTGTGAGCTGTATGTTATGTTATGCTTATTGTTCAACTCGTAAATTTGGGTAGATACTGTATATCTAATTTTCCTCACTTTCTTTACTGTTACAGACACAATCAATCTTACATACAGAAAATGAAAGAGAATAAATAAATAATAGGTAAAGGTACAAACTATTTTTCAACTCGTAACTTTGAATAGATACTGTACTACACATAATCTTACTTTTATTTTTTTACTCTGTTACATGCACACACATGCCTACATACAGAAAGTGCAAAAAGAAATAATTATCAGAAGATATAAAGTTTTACGTATCTACGGGTTTCCACTGTCAAGACATGTGGCAAGTGTGTGTGGAGGTCAGAGGGTCCGTGGCAGAGCACCATTGTTAAGGTGAGTATCAGGGGTAACTACAGTGCAGTATGTACATTAACTTATATAGTTTTCCACTTATTATGCTTTCATTATTACTGTACTATATACTGCATATGTTTTCATTGTTGCTGCTTGCATGTCTACCATTTAAAGTTTTAATGTTACAGTGTACAGTTACAGCTACTTTTAAGGGTGAATCTAGTTATCCGAACAGCAGCTTTACTGCCGGAACAGAAGGTTTACTGTATACATTTTAGGCCTGGAGCTACAAATTCCAGAAAATAAAAAAACCCTATTCGGCAACCCCCCGGGCCACCGCATGCAGATAAACGGTCCCATACTTATACAGTACTTCAGTACTTCACTGTTATAGAACACAATATGTACACCCACTAAAAAATTATTCAGCACCCGTGTCATATTGTACAGTATCACGCCGTAAGGGTGCCAAATAATTTTTTTTGTGGGTGTACATGATACTTGTACACACACACACTTGTATACATGCATGATACATACATGTACACCCACAAAAAAAATTTTGGTACCCTTACTGCATGATACAATATGACACGGGTGCCAAATAATTTGTTAGTGGGTGTACAACTTACCTAAAATTAATGAAACTTAGTACAGTATACTGTTAGCAGCTGGAAAGTTCAATGTCTTTCAAATGCAGCAGTACAATATATATAAAGCATAGTGTTTGTAAGTGGCTAAAATTTGGCATAGAATTGGGTTTTGCTTTTGTAAATAATACCGAGAATCCTTACAAATGTCTAAATTGTGAGGGTGGAGATCAGCCTAACAGTGCATGACCACAGTTTTTAACAGAGCTGAAAATTGGTATGGTTATTCTTTGCTTGTGCACTTAATTTTACCCAAGGGCAGACATATGGTACATAGACTCTGAGCTGCTCTTCTAATTCTAGGCACCCTCTTTAATAGTGGTGTTTGTGTGTGTGTTTTATTATGTTGGTGTTAACTCCTCCGTAACATAGAGATGAAGTGTGGTGTGGTTATGTAAACAGCTCTGAGAAGACAAGGCCAGATACCTGAGCTAGTTTTCTATTATGTTAAACAGAAAAATCAACAAAATTAAACAAAGGCCAATCCAAATTATGTTTCAATAAAAAATAAGACTGGGTGTATAAGTGATACAGGAGTAAACTTAGCATTAAACTGACAACCATAAACTCACACAAAAACTTGACTAAAAATCCAAGCTTTCGTAACAACACACCATGATGTCAACCTTCACAGATCTGAGAAACAAAACCAGACATTACTGTTATCTGCAATGAAGTATCGAGCAAGGTTAAAGTGATGTCTAGCATAAAACTCACCGCACCTGCCCACTACCCACACTTTCTCTCCTAGTGCTCGAGTTGACAATCATCACAACCACAGTCGCCTCTCTTGGTCCCCCAGCTAGTTATCAATATGGCCAAGTCTAATATCTTTCCTGTCATAGTCCTCCTGTTAATTATGGTAAGACTATACCTCAACTTATGGTCTTTTTAAATACAGTACAGTACTCTCAAGCCTGAATGTGTGGATGCTGAAAGTTTTAGTCGGTCACCCCCCCCATGCAAACTTAGGATACAGTAAACCTATTATGGTATAGTATGTGCTTGTGCAGTACATTATTTAGTTGCCAAGACTCAATACTATAATTATCTTTTTCATCATTACAGTATACTGCATTATTATTATACTAAAACCTTGCATGCAATATAAAAATATTCTGGCCACCACCTTCATGTCTTAAAGTAATTGTGTCAGTTTGGGAGGAAAATTTAAGCATAGTGCAGTACAGTACTGTATAGTCTTGAGGCCCTGCTGTCGTGTATACTGTACTGTACTAAACCAAGATATTGAGTATAAAATCTGCTGCTACTTACCCCATGTGTGTGTCTCTCAAATCCAGTACAGTATTTTTTATTTTCCCCGTATGATATTGGGATCAAAGTACATAAATTGGTTCTACCACTATCAAACACCTTCCTCTCTCTCTCTTTGGGCAGGTCGTGAACACCGTTGATGTGGACGCCTTGTGTAAAGACAGCTATAACTGCAGTACAGCTGGGAATTTCCCCCAGTGTGATGACTACTGCATGAGTCATTTCTTTCATTGCTCTTATGACCATATTGGGAAGTTTGCAGAGCTGTGGCCATGCCAGTTTGGATTGGTGTTTGACACAAATCCTAACAACCCTTACTGCACTCTACCCTCAAACTGCTCAATCCCCACAACCCCGGCCCCTGACTGTTTGCCTTCCTGCACCTGCACACAAGTGGGTGCATTCGCCAAGTGCCCCTATGCATGCAACCCGAATTACTACTACTGTGCAATAACCTCCGGACCAGGACAAGAAATGACTTGTCCTACTAGTTACACCTTTGACTATAGCACTCTTAACTGTGTCTTGACGGCAAATTGTGTCTGAGACCCCTGAGCCTGTTAGTTGCAAGTCCCTCTTTTTCCCCACCCACTCACACCAACCATTACTGAATTTACTGACCATCCACGAGGCCCAAACCAATTTTGAGTTCTACAATAATCTCCTTAACCACTTGAGAGTTCTGCAATAACATCCTCAACCATTCATGAGCTCTGTAATCTCCAATTATTATCAATAGTCTACAACAATATCCCCAACCATCCAGAAACTCTTACAGTATCATACCCAACCATCCAGGAACAACACGATAACATCCTCAATCACCCAGGAGCTCTGTGACCTAGAGTTTTACAGTTACCATCCTTGAGTTCTGCCATTACCTCCTCCCCATGACTCCCAACCTTCTGTGACAATATACCATTACCATTCCTGACATCCCTAACAGTATCCCTGATGTTCCTTTGGCCTTCTACAAGCAAATCCAGACCACAACTATTCCTTCCAAACTCCCTCACAAAAAAAAATCCCATCTTAAATCACTCTTACAAATATATATACTGTACTGTACTGTATATTTACAGCACTTTTTGATGGGTAGAGGTCACTAGACTTTCCACCAGGAATACTATGTCTAACTGACCAAGATATTAATTTTTAGACCTAAAATTCACTCAGAAATTATTCAATGAGCTTGGAATATACAGTACTGTATATATTTGTAAATTTTATTCTATACAGTAGTCTTTTCCTGTGTATGTAATGTCTGTTTGTTATCAAGGAGAAGACATGGATTCCTTTTTAAAGTCTGAAAATGTCTGCCATTACATCTCATGATTTGTATCTGGATATCCCTTTAAAATAAACCATATTGATATATCCTTGCCTCTCTTCTCTGGGTAGAAAAGTAACATTTGAACCTTTGAGAATGTATCTTTGTATCATTGCTTGAGTGAGCCAGATAGATGCATCCTTACATCTCCAGCTCTTACAGGGAAAATGTAAAAGGCTAGGCCCTAGTTCCAACATGGTATTGTACTGTACTGCATCATCATCATCATACCAAGTACTAATAGACTGCCCACAAGAGGAACAAGCAGAGAAACTATAACCACCAACCAAGGATTTAGAGAAGCTTCAACAGACATCAAGACAAACATAGTTACCTAAACAGACTTTCACTCCCCTAACTCAACATCTATGGGACCTGATCCAATTTCATATCTATATGGTGAAAAATATAGAAAATCCAAGTGATATGTTGGCTTTCACTTACATAATTAATGTGCAAAATTTAGGTACTGGTATATGAGAAACTAAAATTCTTATTTGTCTGGGCTTTGTGTACTATATGTATCGTATAATGTTCCCTCTTACTGGTGAAATGTTCCAAATACAGCTACTCCTCGACTTACGACCACCCGGACATACGACAGTCCCAGTCGTACCAAAAAATTTTCAAATTACGTATTTTCGAGTCCCGACGTTAGTGATTGCACTGTGTACTTTCAAAATTTTCCTTTGTAATTCCCTTTAAAATGGCTGTCATGCTTAAAAGTGAGAGTTTTGTGGTGCTGAGAAGAAAAAGAGACACCCATTTTAGATTTTCTATGTATTATCTTCGCATTTTCGACTTACGGCCAATTCGACTTACGACCTGGATTTACGTCCCTAACCCCGTCGTAAGTCGAGGAGTGGCTGTGCTGACTTCTTCCGTCTGCTATACATTACAGTACCTTCTTTAATGGTAGCTGTACATGTATTTGATTTCATACATTTTACGATTTGTATTTAGCTGTTCACACACAAGAGGTGAACCCTGTACATGAAGGATTTATTTACCCAGATATTAGCATCCTTCTTAAACCTTGCTGGGTTTTATTTCCTCTAACACTGGTGTAAGACTCGGAGCTAAACTAGAGCCATCAGTGGGGTCGCTCAACTCCAAGTTTGGGGTTATTATAAGGATTCAATAGTCCTCTGGGGTTGTTATAAACACCTGTGATGTCACTGGGGCCATCATCTGCACCAGAATAAGCCAATTAGGCCGTGTCTTTAAGCGGCAGCTCGAGGTAGGATGACAAATTTTTATAACTACCAGTGTGTATAGGTACAGTACTCTGTCAAGCAAAATTATAAGGAAAAATTATATAAACCTATAAAGTCATTAACATCTTCAAGTGTTAATTTAACCATCAGCTGCCGGCCTGACTGAAGAGGTCCTTGCTGGTGGTGCTTGGCTGCTGACATTAAAGACCAATAGTGTAACTCCAGACATTCACAAATGCAGTAACTAATGCTCTCAGATTTATGTAGATGCAACTAAGAGTAAAGGATTTTCATGTCCCTCAGTACAGTACATCATACATCCTGTACAGTAAATATTTTAAACATTGAGCTGTACATGGACAATTGCCATCAAGTAAACAAGGCCAATCCACACAAATGTAGAAATTGGGCACAAAATGTTGATGATGATGATGATGACAAAGCCCATGCCAAAAACTGGAGAATTGCGGATCACAGCCCTGTAGTTAACTAGAGATTACTGTAGTTATTTTACATAGGCAATTTCCACTACTTTCTGTAACTGGAGATATAAGTAAACTTTATAAGCCACTTGGCCTGATGAAAAGTTTTGTGATTACCATACCACACTTGCCAACACCCCTCCTGGTGAACACATTTCTGGGGCTCCTTGCTCACAACATCGTCAAGGAGTGGAACAGCAGCATGCTGTATATTATTCCACAGGTAAAAGACTTTGCAAGAAGACCACACTTCTTTTAAATGCAAGTTAATGCACCAGTACATTACTGCAATACAAAATGATATGGTAATAACAAATAAAACACAAATTTTTCTTTGTGTTCATTTTATTTTATTACAGTTAGTTGTTCATTTACTGGGTTGTCATCATTATTAATCAATGAGTTTGTTTTCACTTATATTTATAAAATTGCAACAAAATTTATCTGGAGGCTTTCTATCCATGAAATGAATCATCAATGACTTACCGGGCAATGTTTAAAATAATTTGTGATTTAAATCATATTCACAATAAAAACAAAGTAACCCAGAAAGTTTTAAGAGTATAGTTCAGTAATTACTTTATAGCGCAGAGTCCTAGTAATAAATGCAGCGCACTCTGTGATAGGGAATACTATCTAACTGTGTAGCATTAGTCAACCTGTAGTCCCAAAGAAAGAAGTCCACCTTGACACTATTAATGCCTCCGGATGGCTGATTCCAAGATGCCAGAATCTCGCGTGTTTCAGTCGCTATGAGCTCGGCCGCATGGATAGAGCAGCCACGGATTTCCACCTTCATAGTGCAAAGAAACAACAAAAAATGAAATTAAGTCAACATTGCCAGATGAGTACTGTACAATATAAACTCCTCACATTGAAAAAACTGGGCAACCTCTACAGGATAAACTTGAGCCCTGAAAACACTGAGACTTAGTTCTGGGTGAGACAAGACTATTAGCAGAAATATGATTATATCTCTGGAGGTCTCAGGTATATAATGTGTGTAGCTGTCACACCAAAAAATTAATGATAGCTTATGCACATCTCAGACAACTCATGTACAATCAGCACATCTGGGAAGCTAAAAATCCCAGATCCCAAGACTACTAACGTGTAAATTGGGCTTGATCAGATGTCCCAAAATTTCTACCAAATTTAGAAGAAAAAACATTACTAAATTAAGAAATCCCTCATGTTGTATATACTGTACTTCATTTGTCCTTTGTGAAACTTGAATAAAACAACAATTCATCATTAGAAAAACAAAGGAGTTCATGCGCAGTAAATGGCCTTGAGGTAGGTATATGTTATACTGTACAGGGCAATTCTTCCTCCTTTAATGGGCCACATCAACAAATCTAAATATAATACAGAAATCAAAATAATACAGATGAACCCCAAGTTAGCCTCAGATTCCATGACATACCAGATGAGCATCAGTAAGTCTTCCCTCTCATAAACGTATGTGACATTATTCCCACAAACTTAAGAATACATTATCACCATCCCAAATCCTTCTGCACAAAATCCAGGGTATGTTATGATGCTTATCCTTAACCCAACTCCCCTGTCAGCCTCCCAACCCTTCACAACCTTTCCTTACACTGCCATGACCAAGCTACAGTGAAGTTTTAGTAATTAATCATCTCACATCTACCGTAACTGATTCCTGACGTTGAACTAACTATTGTACTCTTCTCTGCTTACACTGTACAGTACTGTGAGTTTCAAACATGATACAATACTATAGTACACACAATTATTTTCCTTTTACCCATTGTCTCTCTGATACTGAAAATATGTACACATATATGTACAAAAAAAAAGGGTGAAAGTAAATCCCATATGTACTATTGCCAGACAGAACAGTGTACACTGTATATATTAAGTCTTCAGTATACAAGGACACACTGTGGCTAGTATCTGTACAGCACATGACTACGTTCATATCCCCCAACTGTAATATTTGGCGCCCATATAAATGGTGGACTGAAATAAGGATGACTTGGATCAAACCAACGACCCTTAAGACAAGAAACAAGTAATACAGTACAATATATCAACTCAGCCACCACACCCCTGCATATAATGTACAGTATATGTTTGTACAAAAGAAAAAACAATAAAAAATTTAACACTCACTTCTTCTCGATCTCCAGACTGAAATAGCTCTTCTTTATTGAGTTTTTCCATCAAGCTGTCGGAATATTTCAGTACTCCAAAATATGCCATGGCCTGAGGAACCCTGTAGTCAGCAAACATGGTGAGTGAATCTATGTCCGTAAATGCTCCCAGACCTTCTCCACGGTACAACATCCACAAGTCAGCGGCAAGAATCTGCACTCTTTTAAAAATGGCCACTTTCTGTCCCTCAAAGGTGGCAGTATCATTGAAGCATGGGAATTCACTTGTCACAATGTCAATCAGCTTCACAGCACTGCCATCTGCTTTCCGTAACACATTCACAAATGTTCCATCGTACTTTTCTATAAGCTTATCGCCCACTTCTTTCAGCACTTTAACGCGGTCTTCAAACAGTGGCATTGTTGATGCAGTGTCAGAACGGAATATATGTTTGATGTCTTCAATAGTAAGCTGGGAGTAGAACTTTGGGTCATACATCTTCTTCCCCTCATCAATAGCCCTGTTGACAGCAGAAACCATAGCCAAGTATCCACTCCTTTTCTGTAAGAGGAAGAACAAAATACTTTTTAACCTCAACTTAAAAACAGTCTCATTAAAAAGTACTTGCTACATACAATACAGTACAGGAATATGAAAATTGAATTCAAACAACTGCATAAAATGATATGACAGCAATACATACTGTATAAGAGAAGTGACGTTATTAAAAATATGTTTACAATTTGACAGGGCAACATGGTCCAGTACTAACGCAAATTGTGACATGTACATTAAGTTCTACTGTATTATGATAGAATTAAAATGCATTCATTGTGGTGGTGGTGTGAACACATCTTAGGTCAAACTAACAGTAAGACTAAGATTTATCACAGTTTAGCTGAACTTACACTGGGGAAACAGACCACATCTTTGGACAAATAGAATGACAGAGCTTTTGTTTTTTGGGGGTATATATATATATATATGCCAATAAGTCCACCCAAAGAACGACTAGGTAACTCCCTCAATGTTGACACACCGAATTAGAAGAGGGATATTATTTGTTAATTAACTTAAAATCTAACTTGGTACACAAGAAATAAAGTTCATAGATAACAGAGCAAAGAATAGAGAAGCTGTAAATATTTATTTTCTTTGGTTCTACACAACCTTGCATTCTGAAAAATATAGGTATTAAAAGACTTCAGGCAGGGAAGGACAGGAGTATGGTAATGGTGATAACAAGACATCATCATAATTCAAAATATACTAACCTTATCTTATCTCAAAGGCATCTTCTACCCTAAACTTTAAAATTTTCTCAAGATACAGTACAGTAGAAACTTCAATTCAACAGCCACTCATGATTTAAGATCCCAACTCTCAAAAGCTCACATTCTGAGTTAATTATGACAGACTTTAACCTCTCAGCCAATATTAATAACAACCATGGAGTACTCACCTGTCCTTCATACTCAACGGTGTACTTGGGGACTCCATGAGGTGTCCAAAAGTTAAAATTCAGTGAGTCAATAAGGAAGACCCAGTCAGCAAGCTGTGCCTTAGTCAGTCCCTTGTTCAGTGGCAACACTTCATTCTGTGGGCCAACCAAAACAGTCCAGAGCATAAGTTGAATGGTTACAAGTACAGTACTGTATTCTATATAAATAAACTCATTAAATGCACAAGATTTAGAAATGAGGTTAACTCTGCTCAAACATTATACTGTAAATCTCCTTCAACTCTATACAGTATTACCTCTGATCACAACCTGTTGTAAGCCACCAGCCAAAACTAACCAAGTTCTGTCAGGTTATATGTTACACTCTGGTGTTCCATCTACAGTAATCTAATTCATAAATGACTTTCACATTCAGTATTTCCATGCTTAACTACATTACAAATTAAACCTATTAGTGATGACTCTTTAAAAGGAATACAATAGTACTGATACTTAATTCCTCGCTCCGTCGGTACATGCAAGCGATCTATTAACTCAGATTAAAGTAAGTATTCCAATTTTTTGTGACTTTCTGACACCAAATACTAGTCGAGAAGTGATTAGCAGTCCGATTTATTCATGTAGGACCATTATTTGACTTCATTGCGGCTACATTTGGCTACATTTGGGTAATTAGTCGGATCGCTGTTTATCATTATCTGCACCACTGTCTTATATGATGATCTTACTGGATAAATAATGACCCACTTATCAAGAAAGTTGTGTTAGGTTAGGTTAGGTTGTCAGTAGTCTAACAACCCAACCTAATTGAAGCTAAACTAATGGTCGGCAGTTTAGTTTAGTTGGATTAAGATACAATGCAAAATTAAATACAGTACAGGTAATCAAAATATGGGAAGTGTTACAGAAGAAATATTTTTATTACCTCTTGAATAAAAAAAAATGAAACTTCTATTTTTGCCAATTTTTTCCTCCTCCACATCAAGAAGTTACGTCAAGTCACCAGCTCTAAGCACTGACGAGAACCGGCTGTTAATGTGAGCAGTAAAAGACGTCAACACACACACACAAAACAGGTAACAACTTCTGAACATTCTTGTATAGATTATCAAACCTTTCTTCATTAGATCACCTGAATAATCTCCACCCAGCTTATTCTACCTAAACATTAACCAACCTAACATACATAGGAGGGTGAGGTGAGATCCAAGGAGAGATGAGGTGAGGTGAGATTGGGTGTTATTTTTTTTAAGATAACCATTACATTGTTCAGTGTATTTGTGGAGCAGGTGATAACAAGAAGCACTCAGGTAGTTTCATGGTCAGCGTCGTCTCTAACCTGTTTGAACTCCTCCATGTCCAGCTTGCCATCCCTCACGGCCTCTGCGATGACATTAGCCACTTTCTTTACTCCTTCATTTACAATACTGACATTCTGGGATTTAGAGGCAATTAACTTAGCAGCATCTCTCGGCCACAACATGTTGGCAGTCGACGACCGGGAGCGAGTCTGACACTTGTTGATGGTCGGGTAAGGCTTCAGCTCCCGCCCGCCCACTTTCCCTTGACTCATGACTCACTTTTGTGTCTATTAATATTCAAAATAACGATCACACGTACATTAAGTGGAATAGTTAATCTCTTAAAATTTACGAAGATGTGTTCATGTGTTCACAATGAATTTCATGAGATATATTGTTTCCTAATGTGAACAGTTTTGTTTTTGTGAAGCTTTGAAGAGGCTAGCTCAACATTTATTGGTGAATAACAATGCTTCAATTATATCTGATATATTTTTCTTAATTACTAATTATATCAGTGCAAAAATTTGATATAATGCAATAAAATTCCAATGAATCATGTCAATATATTAAGGCTGGAGCACCATCTCCCACATGAAATGAATTATGTCATAATTTACTCAATACTTGGTAGACTTAAACATATAGTAACTGCATAAATTTTTCAAGCTTGTAAACTCTTTCAAAATTCTTGGTTATACCATATACAGAATGAGCTTCTCATTGCCATAGATGTAGAGAATAGCTAAACTTACACTAGCTGCTAATGAGTCGATCAGTGGTGAAGAGGATGAAATAAAGCATACAGTTTATCCATACAACACACGGGCTAAAATTCATATGATATTGTTATAGCCCCTTCTGGATTACAGTTTGAAAAATGAATGACTTGTCTCATGATCACCATACACAGTATTCTGAGTAATACCCCCCTGTACTTAACTTTATCCTCTTCAGCAGCTTGGGCGGTAGGTCATGTCTCTATTACACACTATTGGCAAGTACTGTACTGGGCATATACTGGGTCCTGAATGTATCTGTACCTGCATCAGTGTTGGTCAAGTCTGGTCTTGATTGAGCTCATACTCGGTGTCATTACTTTTTACTTTTATCCTCTTCATCACTGATCGGCTCGTTAGCCGCTTGGGCGATCTGTCACGTCTCTGTTACTCACTGTTGGCAAGTACTGGGCATGCACTGGCTCCTGAATGTACCTGAACCTGCCCCAGTGTTGGTCTAGTCTGGTCTTGAACGAGCTCACACTCAGTGCCGTCACAACACTCTTTCAGATTGTTAAAAAAAATTCACAAGTTTCATACACTATTATTTATTGATGTAGTGTTTGTTGTTTTACACAAGTCATTTTACCATTGTAGTTCTCTAATATCAATAAGAATAGTAATATTAATCTGTCAAAGTTTGTCTGCAGTTGTAGCTCAAAAACCATAGCCCAGAGAGTCACTCTACCCTGAGGCCAGTCAGGATTATTATCAATAAGGGGTGAAATTTATGTAAGGCTAAAAGTAACCATAAATGGTGATTGAGTACAACCAATATTAATAATAATAATATTTATTGTGATCCTCAAAGATTAATGAACAACACATATATAATCCTTTGGACTTCTACCTAATGTGATGAATAAATGATTACCATAATACTGTACTGTAAATCTTGTCTCCTCACATAATACACGAGTTTTATTAATACTAAACTTTAGTTACATTTGTATTTCATTCTAGAGCCAGACACATACACAGTACCACATGACACTAAGCTACCCTCCAGCCATTCAGGTTTAGAAATCCAAATTAACTACAGTATTGAATAAAAACAAATAATTGTTTATCTGATATAGACAAGGATGTGACACGGATGGAGATGTGACACAAGCAAGGATGTGGTGTGCAAGTTTAATCAGCATACACACTTGAAATCACTTACAACCATATGCAGAAATTACAATAAAATAACACGAGAATGACACAAGAAATAAATAGAATGAAATATTAGTTTGGCTGTAAAACATTTAATAGAGAATACAATGGGACAAGGAAACATGAAGAAAACTTTTATAATCATTATATGGATGATATACCGGTAAGAATACCGTACAACAAATCTTCAAAATAACAAATCCTATATGAAAGTAATATTATCACATGTAATAACAAACAAAAGTCATGTTGCTTCTTCTTTATTCCACAAACCCCAAGATTCAGGCTCGTGAAACCAAAGCATTTATGAGCAGAATTATGTATCAGTGCCTAGTACTTCGGGTTCACAAGTCTGAACCTTGGGGTTTGTGGAGTAAAGAAGAAGCAACATGACTTTTGTTTATGACTGTATAAAGCAATTTCTTTAGCAGAAGTGTAAACAATTGGGAGATCTTCATCAGTCGAAGTTCGTTTTATTTTACGAAACAATGACATTACAGTATTATTTATATACTGCATCAGTGTATCAAAAAGTCTCCTTTGCACTGTTGTTGTTGACTAAGTGAATAATACTTGTACCAGCTGTAGTACATATTGTATCCTTATGCCATCATCAATGAACCCAATACTGTACTGTAATGTGTAAATTACATCTTCATCCAAGTTTCGTAATTGGCCCAACATTGTATATGCCTTCCATCCACACATTCCTGTCAAACTCAATTTTCTCGTCTGTCCAGTAGTACTGGAGTCTCAATCAAATGTACTGTCCCATCATCATTTGGTTTCTCAAGGTTATACCACTGAATATATACCTCATTGGTCTTTATAGATGCAATGCGAATCCTCACCTGCGAAAGAACACAAAAATATTATTACATATTCTTTAATTTCCTCAAAAGAATGTACAATAAAGTCTATCTAAACTCCACATACCTGACCAAGGGAGCACTTAAAGATGGCTTTTGACTTCTTGAGTGATATGGTGAGAATGTAACTTGGTAGTTTGTCAAGAGGAATATCACATTCAAACTGCATTTTGTTGTCTGATAAACATTTTACTTTCTGTTTAGTGTCCTTGTCTTGCTGGGGGTAGAGGTGGACCTTCCACACTGTGCTGCCTGGTTCCTTAGTGGCTTTTCCTTTTAATCTAGAAAAACAAAAACAAAAAAAACAGTGAACTATAGATTATGATATATTCAAGTATTCAAGTACAGTATTATAAGTGTCCAAGTAATTTTTTTCCCCAGCAAGCTCCAGTTATACCTTAGTGATACCCTAATTAGCTCCTTGGAACTCCATTTGACACCTATTCAACCTTCATGGTACTCCAGTGATACTCCACTGATGAGGGTGACTGATGATGTCAGCTACAATGACTATTACACCTCATGGTACTGAATACCAACTTCAGTGCCAACACCATGCATGAGCTCACAGACTGGAGTTGTACACCACAGACAGCCTAACTACCAGTGATATACACACTACCATGTGTGTGTATATGCTGTATATATGTACCTATGCATCATCGTTTCATCATTTTATCTGTTGTTGCATTTATCTCATTACCACGTTATGGCCATCTTCCACACTTGGGAGAGTTAATACAGATTACCTGATGGCAGCTCTCTATGCATTATGGTCTCTTGCAGCCTCTTTAATCAGGTTCTCATCTCTGAGGTCGTTTCTTACAGCTTCTCCCCATTTTATTCTTAACCAATCCTTAGCTCTCCTCCCTTCCACATTCATGGCCTACCCCTAGCTCTCGTCCCCTTCTCCATTCAAATTTTTGTATCTCTTCTCCCAGTTAGTCTCCTCCATTCGCTCCACATGTCCAAGCCATCTCAGCCTACCTCTACATAAAACCTCACCAATACTCCCAATACCCAACTGACCTCTTAGCTCTAAACAGGGCTTCTTGGTTCTCAGTATCATGTTACACATCTATCTCATCCTTCTCATTTCAGCTCACTCAACCTTACACACATCATCCTCTTCAATTGCAAATTTTAAAACTTAAAAAAATAAATTCACAAAAACTTACTCAGTGTTCAGGATTGAGATAGTTAATTTATTCTGACTACCATATCTGATGCCCAGCTGGACCAGTCCCAGGCTGCATCCATCTGTAGTTCAAGAAATCACTAAAGTTGAAAACAGATTATGTTAAGATAAGGCACTCCAACTTAGTCCACCTAATGATTAAATATTACCTTAGGTTAGGTTAGCATTAGGGCGTTTTATCTTAAAATTAATAAGCAGGGGTGCCTCATTTCCTTGATTTGTTTTGTTTTTGTGTTTTCAATTTTTCTCATAGCCAAAGTGTGTGCCTGAGAGGAGAGGCCATTTACCTTCACTTTGATCTTATTTTACACTCACCTGCACCATCAATCTGGTCTGCTAGTGTCACACATTCCGTGTCTTCAACACCAACCTCAGCAGTGGAACAGGATGGGCTGTTCTGTACAATGGATGGGCTGTTCTCTACACTGGGTGGGCCATTCTCCACACTGGGTGGGCTGTTCTCTACACTGGGTGGGTTGTTCTCTACACTAGGTGGGCTATTCTCTACACTGGGTGGGCTATTCTCCACACTGGGTGGGCTATTCTCCACACTGGGTGGGCTGTTCTCCACACTGGCTGGGTTGTTCTCTACACTGGGTGGGCTGTTCTCCACACTGGGTGGGCTGTTCTCCACACTGGGTGGGCTGTTCTCCACACTGGCTGGGTTGTTTTCCACAACAGAAGTTGTTGAAGACTGAGAACCAGTGTTTGTTGAGAAAGTATTCTGAGGCTGAGTTACACAGCTTACACTAGGAGAAAGAAATGGTTCCCCCCAGTCAGGATTCTCATTGTGTCTGATGTTGCTCTCCTCACCAGCAGGTATGTGCACAGGCTTGAAGCTCTGAAGAAAATGTCATTAAAAATAATCTACTGGACCTGGAAACTACTAAATGTATCTTATATACTACAAAGAAATACAGTATATGATTTTGAACATACAGTATATGCTGTCTCTCTCTCACACACACAGATGTGAGATAGGTGTTATACAATGTAACCTAACCAAACACCGATTTTCTCTGGGTACTCTGGTACCTCCTGTAATAACATTAGAAGGTGAAAGTAATAACAAAGTAAAAAAAAAGAGTAGACGAACCACCTTAAACAGCTACTGAGTTGATAAGTGTTGAAAAGATAAACAAGATAAATAAATAAATGAAAAAGTAATGCTCCTGGTTACTCCCTCATCTTACTCACACTTAATACATAGTACAGTACAGCATTTAGTCACCTCACTCTCCTCCTCTATACTCGTGCAGGAACATTACAGAACAGTACAGCACAGCAGCTCATATATCATAATGACTCCACAATGTTGTAAACTGTATCAATCCCTCCCATTATAAATATGAGGTCTAAATCTGGCAAACAACAGTTTCGCCCTTCCAGCCATTCACCATTCCAAATTACATTAGAGTCCCATTTAGGCTTATGTCCCACACTTCCTACACAATTTTTGATGTCTTTAACCCTTATACAGCAGCTGTAGGGCCAGCAGCCACCATAAGTGAGCATTTTTTGTTCCTCATGTTCTGTATTGTGCATGTGGGGGGTAAGAGTAGGGAATCCTCAGCTGCCAGTTAAGGGTTAAGAGATTAACTCCAACATACAGTAAATAGGATCACTTACCCAAAGACTTAGGTTGAGAACGATGACAGACTTACTCTCCTTAAAATAGATTTTCTTTTCTCTTGTCCTCATCTCTGGCTCCTTCAACAAGAAGCTAAGGTCTTGCTCCACTTCCAGCTCGATTAAGTCTTTTTTTCCATCAATCTTTTTATAAATCTGAATGCAATAAAAAGTGTTACAGTACCCATACATGCCCAGTACAGTACATTGTCAACAGTGCATAACAGAGAAAATACCTGACTGGCTAGTGAGCTGAACAGGGGGTGAAGACTGAGGCTTTCAACAGTGTACCCCACGAAAGGCTGAAAATCAAACTGGAAGGGTACGGATTTCAGGGAAATGTCCGTGCGTGGATAGAAGACTTTCTGCATGACCACAAGCAGTTTGTGGTGATTAATGGCACGAAATTATCATCCGTACCTGTCACAAGCGGGGTACCACAGGGCAGTGTATTGGGCCCGCTGTTGTTTGTTTGTTTCATAAATGACATGCCTGACGTTGTACACTCCTCCATACAAATGTTTGCCGATGACGCCAAGTTGTTTCGAAAAAATCAAGAACCAAGCGGACTGTGAAGAGCTGCAGAAGGACCTCTGTGGGCTCCAAGAATGGTCGAAGAAATGGCTGCCGAGATTCAATGTCACGAAGTGTAAGAGGATGCACCTGGGGTGTACCAACGGTAAGGAGGCGTTTCATATGTTCCAACGTGATGGAGTAACTGTACTATTTGAGACTGAATGTGAGAAGGACCTAGGTGTGTATGTTGACAATAAGCTGAAGTTCTCGGGCCATTGCGAGAAGGTGAATCAGGCAAATAAATTATTGGGTCTTATAAGAAGGTCGTTCAGATATCTAGACAGTCCGTCCCTCATAACGATCTTCAAGAGAAAATTGCTTCCCCATCTGGAGTACTGTCACCCCATCTGATCCCCGAGATATGCTACGGACTGTCAGTTGGTTGAAAGTGTTCAAGACGCAAGTCCAGAAAACTGTGAGGGCAAACTTTTTTGGAGTGAGAGTTATGAACTCTTGGAATAATCTACCAGAAAGTGTTGTGAAGGCACCGAGTGTGAGCTCTTTAAAGACAAGACTTGACCAACACTGGAGCAGGTTCAGGCACATTCAGGAGCCGGTGCATGCCCAGTACTTGCCAACAGTGAGTAGCAGAGACGTGAACCGATCGCCCAAGCGGCTAACGAGCCGATCAGTGGTGAAGAGGATAAAAGTAAAAGTAAAATAATACCAGCCAACAAATATCATTCTAATGGGGTGTTGGTGGTGCTGCGGTAAAGTGTGAATCTCTCACTACAGCTTCCAGGGTTCAGTGTGACCCTCACTACCAAACATGGCAGGTTTTCTCCAGGTAGTACAGTACTGTACTGCAGTTTACTGTACTAACACTAGACATAATAGTTCATACAAAAGTAACAAATAACAAACCAACCACCCAAGTGACTAATAAACTGATGATAAATGGTGAAATAATAAATCAAACAAAATATTCTAAAAAAAATGCATTCATACTTAAAATGGACGATGGATAGATAATGTGACTGATACATAAATAAAAATATTGTGCAGCCAAAAAATCTAATGTATATGTAATATAGTGAAGAGAAAATGATGTATTATTAGTAAAGAAAAATCTACCTATGCTAGTTATAAATGCTAGCTGGTCAGTCAGTCTGTTCTCTGTTACACTCTGTTGGGTGACAAGTTGTAATCTTAATCTGAATATTGTGAGAGATAAAACAGGGTGTTCTTACCTTGATCGCTAGCTTCTGTGTGCCTGGATCAACAATAAGGAAATCAAAGCCTTCTCTAAACACATATTCCCTCTCTTGATCATGTTGATACAATGTACGGACACCTGTTGTCCGCTCCTTCTTTCCAACTTGTAGCCAAACATACAGATTTTGTTCACGCTGTCAATAAACCACTGATGTAATGCCACACAGAACATGAACTACTGTATATATACTGTACTGGAGTCAAGAAACCTACAGAACTTTATATAAAACATAATTAAGTGGATTCCCGACTCACGCGTCATCAACAACTTACCTTAACTCTCCGCACAGACTTCACCCACACCTTCAGTAACCCACAGCTTTGTGTCACATCTGCTCCTTCCTCAACTTTCTGACAAGACAAGAATTAATGATAAATGATATAATACAGGTTCTACTTTTTACGACACATTACTGTACATGGTTAAAAAATAAATAAATTACTGTGCAGTGTATGTGAAATTTTAACATTTTCTACAGCCCTCATAATTATCTTCCAAAGTAAGCACAGCATACTAAAAAATATAATATAAATTCAAAGCATAAAACTTAACAACACTTCTTCAACTCATACAAGACAGATATGGTCTTGGGCATCTCTCGTCCTCACAAGACTTTCATTCTAACTCATTCTTCAGTTGTCACACACAATATACTCACCTAACAGCCACTGCCCTTAAATACCAACAGACAAATTGCTCACCTAAAAGTCACAGCTCTTACAAAGTCACACAACTTCTATCACTAAGAGGAAGATGTTAAACCCTTCACGACGGGGACATCACTATAGTATTAACATTTTATTTGGCTAACATAAAATATTTTTGCGTTGTAAGAAAAGTTCTTCAAACACAAACCTTCGTCAGAAAGTCTTTATCTTTTGAGAGCTCAAGCCAGGTAGCGGCAACATTCAAGCATGGCGAGGAAGTGTCATTGGCAAGGTATCTCTTCTTCACCTGTACAGCATCAGAATAAACACAGTCAAGAGTAACTCTCAAAGAAATAACAAATAATATATATACAGGGTATTAACAAATTTTTAAAGTTACCTGATTTAGAACCAAGAGAAAAAAATACTCCATTAGCAGCAGATTATAATTATCATGTGAAGTTGCAATATGGGAGAGACAGACATTAATTACCAGCTCCACCCTCCATCCCCATCTCCCAAGCATTAATCTTTCCTGGTCAAAATAGGCTAATTCATCTACCATTTGCATTTATACTAAAAAAATAAAAATAAATAGTAAAAAATAATAAAAAAACATCCATTTCAATAACCTTTGAGACTAAACTGAAGACTTACAATATGTTTCCTTGTTATGACATCCTGAAGATCCAGTTCATCTCTAAAAAAAAAAAAAAAATCATAAAGCAATTACCAGTTATCTGGGTGATAAAGCATGGCCACTAGTTTGCCTTCTTCACTGAGGCAGTTAGCAACATGATGTGTGCACTGTGCATGCTTGAAGTTTATGAGTAAAATCTATGTACAGAATTTATTGTATGTTAGATATACTTGTACTGTATATAGATATACTGTACTATAGTTGTATATTATATAATTATACAGGTACAGGTATATATATATACAGTACAGTACAGTATTTTTTTTTACAAGTTTCAATACTGATTATGGTCTTAGTAAACATTACCTTGCAAATCTTTCATTTTTATCGGTAAAAACATTAGAATAAATCATTGAATTACTGTATATACATAAATTCTGCACAATTTACATACCTGTACTGCATTAGAGGATACAATGAAACTCTTTATTTAACATTTGCATGTATGTCTATGTTTGTGTGTGTATACTGTATTGTATATGTGCACTGCATAAAATTGATGTACACACACACACACACACACACACTCCAAAAACTATCTTTATGGAGGGGTCCAATGAATTTCAAAATGAACACTGTAACTCCTGTAGTGTCAGTAGGGTTGTCAAAATCCTTCCTCGTTGTATCATATTGTCTAACACAAAATCGAAAAGATACTTTATGGAACGTGTGTACAGCACTAATGATTACATAAAATCTGAGGTTCCTACACTGACCTGGGAGTATGTGGGAAAGGAAACAGTTCAAAAACAAACTTAAATACACTACAGGTACATACAATATATGTTACCTGAAAAGGGGGTCGTTTGCTTCACTTCCAAATATTGTAAAGTAGTATTTTATCCCCCTTGTTCTGGCAGATGCATAACATATATCCTGAAAATGGTAGAAACATTCACAGGATCTTTATTCTGAATTTCTAAAAGTTGTAGAATGTAGAAACTAAAACTAAGAGAAAAGTGCTTAATAACCCTGGTAGTTGAAGAACCTAAAATTAAAATCTAGCTAACGGTGCTTAATAACCTTGGTAGGTGAAGCACCAAAAGAAAAAACTAATTTAGTGATCACATCACTGATGAAACAGGGTTTGTTGTGGAAGGGGAACATCTCCTTCAGCAGTACAATACGTACAGTGATAACACATTTTAATATGAAGAGGCCACTCTCTGCAAAGATATACAGTACTCATGAGTCTGTAGTATATGCCCACTACTTTAGTGAATTGAATTTGAGGAGTTTGTTACCATCCTAATGGTAAATAAATTACCACAGGGCCAATAAAGATTTTGGCACAGCATTTCCTCCCCAAAAATATAAAAAAGCACAAACTGTATTAAACAAAGTAATGAATGAGGAACTGTGAGGAAAGAAAGGAAATATATATATACTAAGTGGTATAAAACGCTTACCTCACATACAGTCTCACATGATTTGCCAATTGTGAATATTTTGACCCCAAGACGAATGATGCATTTCTTCACCTCCTCACTCTCCGAGGTATTCACATTTAGTCGGACAACACCCTAGAAAAACAAGAAAGCCCAACAACAGTTCTATCTGTACAAGAACATAAAAACATCTGCAATATAAAAACTATACTAGTCCACAGTTATGACCTAATTACTGTTTACTCTGACAATTTTCTGTACAGTACTTATACTTTATCCTCTTCACGACTGATCGGCTCGTTAGCCACTTGGGCGATAGGTCACGTCTCTGTTACGCACTGTTGGCAAGTACTATGACCTCTAGTAGGGCAGGCTTCTGCTAGCTACAGATATGAACAAAGAAATTAATTTTGCCATAAACCTATATCTTATAAAAAATGTAAATATAGTACAGTACAGATATCAAGAACAGTTTACAGTAGAGGTAAATGTTCTCTTTCTAAATTATAAAAAAAAAAAAAATACTGTACAGTAAATATTATTTATACTGTACGTATGTCCAATTAGCATACTTCTGCTATTTAGCAATATGGATCTTGAAAATTTTTTCCTAAATCCCTTGAAAACTATTCATCTCACATTCCTGTTCATACAGTACATGAATCCTCCTAACTGCAAGGTGGTGCTGGGGTGGCCCTTTCTCATACACTGGAGGCAACCATTATTATCTCTGCTCTTCATAGCTCAAGGTTGAAGAAGCCACAAGTCCAGAAAACTGTAAGGGCAAATTTTTTTGGAGTGAGAATTGTGAACTCTTGGAACAACCTGCCAGAGAAAGTTGTGATGGCGCCGAGTGTGAGCTCTTTCAAGACAAGACTTGACCAACACTGGAGCAGGTTCAGATACATTCAAGAGCCAGTGCATGCCCAGTACTTGCCAACAGTGAGTAACAGAGACGTGACCGACTGCCCAAGTGGCGAACAAGCCAATCAGTGGCAAAGAGGATAAAGGTAAAAAGTATAAATACTTACCATTGGTGTTGGTGATTTGTAATCTTCATAATTCTCAGCATTTTGCACAGGTACCAAGGGAAAATTGTAATGATTTTCAATCTTCTTTGACACATTATCATTTAACATCTGGCTGTCAAAATAAAAGTAATTCTGGACACATGCAGCCAAGGAAAAGTAAAACCATAAGGTACTTATTGTAAGCTAAACCTGGAATATCCAATTTATAATTAATTGTACAGTAGCACTCAGTAATATGCTCTAAATTCTGTTAATTAGGGAAATGCCAAAGCAAGACAAAACGTTTATATGAAACTCACAAAACCTCTTAATTTACTATATATTGTATTGAAATTTTGAGCAAAACCAATGAAGTCAAGATCATGGCTGAAACGGCAAGCCTTACCCCTTATAGGATTTTAGACCCAAAAATCTTTCTCTCAAAATTGGAATTTAATGTGTCTAACAACTTAAGTACATCTAGAATAACAAACAAACACCAAAAAGTGACCTTGATAAACCATAGGTGGCAAGTAATTACCGGTAGTGTTGCAAAATTACAGTATTGTGCAGTACATACACAACTCCATCTTACCATAATTTTTCCTCAGAATACATTGAGCTTAGAAAATGTAGCATTCTACCAAATTTAAGCTCCATTCCTTGCCAGTTGATGATCATAACCTGTACACTTCTTATTAGTGGCCAAGAAGACATCAGAGGTGTTAGTAATACCCGAATACTTCCTTTGGCCTGCAGAAAAGAGAGATTCATTAGTCATAAAATTCTTATTTGTTCACCAGTATACTGTACTGAATTGTGCAATGAAATACTGCACATACAGCCACCCAAGAACAGCTACAGTATACAGTACAATATAGTGCAATTAAGATAGCATTAGGCTCCAGGAATATATACACAAAAACTTAAATGTCTTGCTACTGAAGAAAGAAAAGGAACTTGAGTTTTGTGTTAACTTTACCTTTAACAATTTTATCTCAAAAGCACAGAGTATGCATTCGAAGTTCAGGTATCCTTCATATCTGAAAATCAAGAATAAATTAAAAAAATATTTATATAAAAAATGCAATCCTATGATCAGCATTTAGTGTTAGTACTATACCAGGTTAACACTACTTGTACTGTACTATGAGAGATACTGTAAAGTACTCTACACAGCAAAGGAATAACTGCCTGTAATAAATCTACGTACTTTTATCTATTCTCAATACATTAAAGTACTGACAGATCTGAGTGGCTACTGTACTTTCTTTTTACTTTGTGTGAGCTCATTTAAGAACAGACTCAACCAACACTGGCACATGGTCAAGTACCTTTTAGAGCCAGTACAGTATTTGCCAACAGTACTTATCCCTTTAGAAGGCAGGGGTTTCTCTCAGCTGAATAAAATTATCTGGCATTTGCCAGGATAAAATACCTAAGTGTGGCACTGCCTTCTAAAGGGTTAAGACACATGACCAACTACCCAAACAGCTACCAGGACAATCAGTGGTGAAGAGTATACAGTACAGTACACATATGGATTGATTTTATCCTATACTGTACACCACTAGCCAGCATACTAGCCAGTCAGTCAGTCAGTCAGTTCTATGTTATGCACTGCTGACAAATACTGGATTCTTGAATGTACCTGACCATGTACCAAAGGTCAAGTCTGAAATTAAAGGAGCTCACATTTGGTACTGTCACAACATTCTCTGGCAGGTTTTCCAACAGTTCACAACTCTTACTCAAAAAAGTTAGTTCTGAAAGTTTTCTGTATAGTACTGATAGCTTCTATAATTTGAGGATGTTACCTCTAGTGGGGTAGATATCTGCTAACACCAGAGATACATACATTTGACTGAGCGATGCCCTTTGAGGTGAATATAAACCTCTATTAAAATGTCCCTAAGGTGTTCTACATTTTGGAAAAAAATGAGTAATGGTTGTCTTAAAATATTCTAAAAGGTCTGGTGGCCAAGTGGAAACAGTCCTCCTGTCCTTTGGATCACTGGTTTGCACCCAGTTCCCCCAGCTGAAAATATATACTGTACTGTACCTAACTAGTAAGGAAGGTGAAGGTGATTAAATGTACTGCTGAGTGCTGTTCATATTCCGTCCTTGTACTGCATACCAAAAATGGGTACCGGTATAGGTCGCAGTTTGCTGTATCCACACTTCCCCTGACAGGCAATTAGCCCTATGGGACCCACTTCCACAATATCATGAGTCCACCACCTTTAAACAGTTGATTTACCAAGAGAAGAAATATGGCAGTCTTGTGAACATTATTCCCTGATGTATAATGTTTGTTTGGGGGTGAGTTCTGTCGTTATATGATGTTAGGTAAACTGTCTACCTATCTAACTTATGTTATGTACAGTACTATCCATAAATTTAATATTTGTGAACTTTGGATACAATATCAACCCAAGGGGATACAATAAATTAGACACAGGACACTATAATAAGCCTTCGGTACATAAGGAAACAGCCTGGCAGACATTGACCGTTGCTTACCCAACTGTAACGTTAGGTACTGACCGTACTGTATCCATTTACTGTCGAGTCGAGTGGACTAAAGGTACTCAGGGAGCCAGCCAGCGAATTTTAGAACCAAATGAGAGAATTATATTCACAGTATCAGCAACCACACTTCGCAAAGAGTGTAATTTGTGATAGTAAATTTTCGGGGATTCAAAAAATTATCGGCAACTATTTTCCGAAGTTCAAAGGACAGAAGAGTACTCATCCTGACGCTATGACAACTGCATGACTGTAACACACTGTAGTCACTCACCCCACATCCACATCTATGATGATTTCGTCCTTACAGGTGCTATCATAAACCTTCATGCCCAAAACCCTCGGAGGTTGTGGCCCAACTTTTACACTGCTGAGCTTACAAGAGGGAAAATGTGTACAACGTAATAATTCTGGCACCCAAAGGTATTTCAATTTGTCTTCTAAGTAGTTTACAAAGTAGGGCCACACCCGCTCAATCATCTGTAAAGAGAATTGAACTATCACGATTCATGCTTTTTGGCTGGAGTATTATTGGGCTGAGCTATAACATGTGTTCAGTAGGTTGGAGCCAAGACTCTCACCCACCTTGTTGAGGCCATCAGCTGTCTTCATGTCTGACACCTCTAACTGAAACGGAAATGTGAACATTCAGAAAAAAACAGCATTAACATAATGAACTGGGAAACAATTACATCCGAAGTTAAAGTCAAGGAATATACGAACACGTGAGAAACATGTAAGGCGAAGAATGAGACACAAATTGTTCACACTATATTACATATTTTGCTTATTAATGATTTAAATATAAGTGAACTGATGATACGTCCAATTAGAAAAATCCATCCCTTCAGCCCTGGCCCCCCCAAAAAATAGTCTAGTGTTTTAATAATACCTTAAAACACACAAGAACTAACCTGAGCCATCATCATCCTCGGCACGGAAGTCGAACGCAAGATCTTAGTAGAACCTTGACTTAAATCCTCGTGTGTATAAACTTTAAACACCACCAACGACACTACTCCATACATCCCACACCATAGCAGCAAAAGATAATAAAATAATACCTCTATGGAATACTTTAAAGTCAACACCAAGTTAGAACATGTGCAGCACCGACTCAGCATGTGTGACATTTGGTGCCACATGTCCTCAACGCCACACCCTGTAACACGGGACAATAAAGTTCATAAAATAACAAATAACTAGATCAAATGCCTGAACGGTGAATAAGATAACGTGAAATTATTAATATTATATGTATATGACAGTACGGTATGAATACACAGCGCAGATGTAGAGAACTATACACGTGAATTTATAACTACAGGATATACCCGCACAAGCTGTCACAATGGATCAGTTTGGAGAGGTGAGATATGACACCGTTCTGCCTCCTCCAGCCACACTCGTCTGAATTTGTAGATAAACTTGATAAGGCAGATTATTATTATAGGGTGTTGTCATCAGCTCCTTTAAGTGTATTCGGTACAGTCCACCTTCCAAAGATTATTAATATATTACCATTAGTAATATTATGATTTTATTGTAGTGAAAATAGGCCTTTTGTTTCAGTATGTTTCAGGTATCAAAGAAAGGCGCCATTATTTATCACAGGAAACGGAGGGGTTAGTTACTGTGCTTTGCAGCTTATCATGAACTGTCGACCAGGAAGACACATGATAAGAATATACTGTATTATGCTCTGTCAGTATACAGTATATGTTCAGGAGCTATGAACAATAACTCAAACACTTTGCAATTAATTTTAACAGATGTATTTAAATATCAGTACTTTATTAATTGGGCTGGACAGAAAGTAAACTGACGAGGCATTTTCTTAAATAATGTATTCTCATCAAAATGCAGTCTTTACCAATACGCAATTACTTTTTTTTTACCTTTACAAGCACACTTCTGCCATAGTACAAGCAACAGACGGCCTCCAAGATATCCGGTTAGATTGTTTCATAAATATACTCAGCTCCCCACCTTTATTCATCAAAATCTACCAATTTATGCTCTCCAATCATGCATTCATACACCTAACTTATTTCACCTGAAGATTAAACACCCAAACACTGAGTTTTTGTTATGGTTGTTTATTCGTTTGGTAAAATAAGCTCGGGGTGTCTGATCTTCATGTGATTCATTTCTTCTTATAAATGAATCGATTTACCTTGATATTAAATGTCTGTAGTATAAACGAGAAATATTGTACACCAGTAGGTAGAAATAAAAGATGATAGGTAAAGCTTAAGCCATGTATTTTGTTAAGTTACACTATAAATTATATGAACAAAGTAACTATAAATAATAAATATGATTGACTAGTACAACATGCTATCACTCACAAACTTTAAGAGAATCACTGTTACATATCGTCATACTGCCTTCTAGTACAGTACATATTAAAAGTATGTCAATCTGCATACTGTATACTTTATTTATGTACACTGATGAATGTACACAATCCATTCATGCATTGTACAGTACATATCTCTATACAAATATGCATCAATGTTTGTGGGAGTACGTTTACATTCGTGTGTATGTGTACAGTACTTTACATCTGTAGTATTAATGTATTCTATATTTGTATTTATGATGGAGAAAATATTGAAGGGTCTCATTTTCTTGCCATATTTTTATATTATAATCTATCTTGTAATTCCTGTCTCATATATAAGTTGTTCTAGTCATTATTATTCTAGAACTAAAAATAATCTTTGGTGTATGTGTACATGTTCAGACCTATAGACATACATGTGTATGTTTGTGATCTACTTATGCCCGAGAATCAGATAAGAAAAAATAATTATATACAGTAAACCCTCGATAACTCGGCACATATGGGGCTCTGGCCTTGCCGAGTTATCCCAAATTCCGACTTATTGAGGTACTTTCCCCCATCCTACAAATCTTCAACAATAAAAAATTATGGACCCATATATGTGTGTACAGAGTACTTGTAATTACTAAATGTAAAAAAGTAACACTTAACAGCAATACAGGCAAAGAATGAAGCATCATAGTAGGTGACACAGAGGTATGGAAGGGATGCAGGTGGCCAGATATCATTTTACATATCTCGGCATTTCCCGAGTTATACTAATACATTCCAAGACCATATCCATGCCGAGTTATATGAAATTCCGAGTTACCAAATGCTGAGTTATCGAGGGATTTCTGCACTAGCTACTGAAATTAAATCCTAACAGGTGAAAAAATAAATAAATAAATACAAACATTCTCTGTGATCCTGACAAACAAATGAAAAGAATAATGTTATAAATAATCAATTAATTCAAATTTCTCAGCCAAAAGAAAAATTAAGAAGATAAAATTCTGATGAAATTTCCTGCAATGTGATTCCAAACTGTACTCAAGTTCTGTCAAATATACTGTGCAAATATATACTAAAATCACATGAAGATTAGTCACCCCAGCTTATATCACCTAACGATTAAACCCCTTAATGCTATGGGAGGGGTTAGGTTAATTAGCATTAGGTTAGGTTAGGTTAAAATTGGGATGGTTAATCTTAAGGTGAAGTAACCTGGCGGGAGTAATCCTCAGCTGATTCAAATACTGTCGTCCAATTATGTAAACACAGTAATACATGTTTCCGGAAGGGATATACTGTACAACGTCTGGTAAATCTTGACAATGTTATAAGGGAAGGATTTTTTTTAGGATAAGGACAGAACATGCAACAAGAACAGGACACGGGGAGAACAGACAACAAGGAAAGAACAGGACAAAGGGAGAACAGGCAATAAGGAAAGAACAGGACAAGGGGAGAACAGACAACAAGGAAAGAACAGGGCAAAGGGAGAACAGGCAATAAGGAAAGAACAGGACAAAGGGAGAACAGGAAAAGGAGAGAACAGGCAACAAGGAAATAAGCAACAGAGTGAAAACAGGCAACAAGAGTACAGTAGTACAGTATTTAAACTAACGAATATAAAATGTGAAGGGTATATATACAAGGTTTCAGATCGGCTAATTCTGGAGAAAATAAACAACGAGGAAGCATAACTAAGGAGAGAGAGATATGGTACAATATACAACACAAACCCTTAAAAAACAAAATACTGTTCCCAATTACTTAAAACTGTTGCTTGAAAAAATAAATAAATAAAACTTGTACTATGTATATATAAGTAATAAGTCCTGTACACATTGAAAATACTACGTATATACTCGTCATAAAAAATATACAGAATAGATAATGGTAAAAGCAAATATGGTGTGTAGTGTAAGGATGAAGAGTTACCTGCAGGGATGTGTACAGTGCTCTTACCTTCTCTTCTCTTAATTTTTTTTATATCCTACATGAGATTATGAGGTTCTGAGTGTTTGTTAAAAAGAATCAGAACTTTGAAAATTAAACTTGCATCACTTGAGGTCAGGGTTGATCAACTCAGGTTTTGGGTTAGGAATGATCACCAATGAGGTTAAGATCATTAGCTGTGGGTGCCCATCCTGACCAACCTACCTGTACAGTACTACAGTACTAACATGTCAAGAACATACACTAAACAAGAAGTGAGGAATATTCTGACAACTGAATGTAATGTGATGTGGTAATGTTGGTAAAGCTTTACTGCAACTTGAGAAAACCATATTATGTAAATACATATGAGTGTGAATCATAGGATAGATCAGAATGATAAAAATACATTGAACAGTCACCCACAAAAGTTCTGTCGCCTCTCCTCCTGAACCACGAACCCCGAGATTCAGACTCGTGAATCTGAAGAATTTATGAACAGAATAATGCATCAGTGTCTACTGATTCGGGTTCATGAGTCTGAATCTCTGGATTCGTGGTTCAGGAGGAGAGGTGACAAAACTTTGTGGGTTACTATACATGAGACACAAGTGTAACTTCCTTCTTACAACACTAGAACTCATTATATATATATATATATATATATATATATATATATATATATATATATATATATATATATATATATATATATATATATATATATATATATATATATATATATATATATAAATAAAATATATATATAAAATATACTGTAGATAGATTAAGTACGTTGTTACAATTTACCATTTTTCATATGCTACATCCATTCATACACTGGAAATGTTTAAATACAATATCTATTAATTAAATGGAAGAGATTGCACAGCAAGTAAAACTCATTTACACTTGTATAACAATAGTTGCAGAGGGCACAGAGCAGTTACTGTTAATAAATCAACGAAAAACAGAATGCAGCAGACGTCTAAATCTGTCAAGAACAATTTGATCATGTAAAGTAATATGTTGGTTCTGTAAAATTTATGAAACATCAGATCTATGACTAATAAGGCTTGATCACTGTAGTGGGTGTACAGTAACATCTCAATGTTCAAATATTCATGAAAAAAGAAAAAATATCAAGACCATTGCTGAACACCTACAGACTAATACATGTATTCATAATAACAAACCAGGGTACTGTACTTGAATTTTCTTCATAACAGTAAACATGAATTTTCTTTCTCATTATTGATTACAAGAATAAACAATTTATAGTTAACTTCAATTTTCTCGTCTAGTTAAAACAACTGTTTGATGGATTACAATGTTACTCTAATATAACTAGTAATACTTCTTCTATCTGACTTCAATATAAATATATCATATATTAGGCTACTGGATAATTTAAAAGCTACGGTTCAGATACGTCGGTACAGTACAGTACAGTACTGAGGAACAGCTGCTGACTCCCAGCCTCCACACAACTACACCAAGTTGTCCATATGGGGAGATATTTATAATTCTTATCTTTCCAATAATTTTTTGGGAGGATGCTGTATATATTATAAATAAATGTCAAATTTTACCTAATTCCAATAATTGAAATTTAATGTGTCATTATTACCGGTACTCTGCCGGAGCTTCAACACATTTCTGGAAAACAAACTGTAAAATTAGCAAAAAATATTATTATGAAAAAAGACGTCATAAGACAGAATAAGTTACTATTAGAAATTATCATATTCATCACGTGTACATACACTGTACATTTTTGTAATATCAAAAATAAATGTAAGCTCTTTGAAAATGTGTATATTATCATAAATTTAACAGATGAAACACTTGCTCCACACTTTATAAAATTTAAATTCCATATTAATCAACAGTTGGGTCAAGCAATTCTTAATATATACGGCCATTGTTGGCGAGACACAGATGTGGCAACAATGACTGTACACGACAAGAGCTTTATCTCACACCTTCTCCCAGCAGCCTTGATACAAGGTTCTTTATAACACCATTAAATACACATTTTCTGAGACCCTTCTAATAAAACCATATACTACTGTACACTTTGCTACATGTATAACAGTCATCTCAGTTCTGTTTCACACACAATATTCACTAAAGAACAGCCAAGTTTATCAACAATATCACTTCCACCTTAACAAAACCAAACTATGTAGGGCTTTCAACATGTTTTTTCTAGACAGGTACAGTACCTGGTAGTTATCAGGGGGTATTTCTCAACAAACAATTGGGTCCAGAGGCTAGTATCTTCCATTTCATCCACTGCTGATGACAGATTGAGGGAGGTATGAATATCACATCATTTTGAAAGCCCTACAATATAATAGAAAAGCCAAGATATATGACAAATACTAACAGGAAAATATCTTTACTATACAGTAAAACCTTATTTATGTAGACATTACTGTGGGTAGACACATCTTGTTTTATATACCAGAAAAAAGGCCGAATGCTACAAATTATACTGATCATAATGTGTATACAACAATATAATATCTTAAGTGGTGGCCTAGTGAATTTAAACTAAATATTTTTTAGGCTTTCCACGTACAGTAAATCCAATTTCCACATAATCAGAGTTTGACTGTAAACGTTAAACAAGTAAGAACCTGCACTGTAATCTGACATTTTTGTTGGCTTAGCATTATCTACAACAATAAATAATTTATGACTTGTACACTGGTCTCACATGTGGGTCCTTGTTGTTCTTTCTATCATCAACACATACATTACAGTACATCTACCACCAGTTACTCCTTCTGCTTTGTGCAATAATTATTCACTCATAACATCTCCTCAGACATTCAACCAATTATCTACGTCACTGAAGAATTAACAGTACAATACAAACTACACTTAAAAAAAAAATGAAAACCATCAATGTAACTAACATCAATAGTTAGTCATATTTCCATCAAGAATTGTACAGTACAGTACAGCACTTTTTGGAGTAGACATATTATTTTGCTATTTTGATTATAATTTATATACATATCAGCAGCTTCACTTTCAATGACTCAATTTATATTTCTAACCCGAGTCCATGGCATGTAAATAAACCTCTTGTACACAGTTAGCAAAACCCTAAGCTTGTCTTCCACAGTCCCTCATAAAGGTGCACACAAACACACACACAAATATGGATTTCATATTACTGGCCAGAAATCATTGTGTTGGGGCTAGACCATAACTGCTTGAGCTGCTAACAACAGATTTGCACCATCAACCCCTGATAATTTCCATTACCTTTATATATTAATGTATTGAGTAAAATTAATCAGTTTTGGGGGGAAAATTCATAGGTAGATGTTCAGTCGGAGGTCCCACATACACATAAATTTGCATATCGACTCGTGATAAAACTACCAAAGACACAGTACTATGTTGGTTTATTTGTTGGAGGATGCGAGTCAAATAAGCCTCAATCCTCGCCAGACTTCAGAACAACCTAACCATTAGTATTGGTAGGAGCCCATTTGGACTGAACCTTAATATCAAAGACCATGTTGGGGCTTATTATGACTGGGGCCCATTTGATCAGTATCCTCATGGCAGATGCTGTACTTCATTACACCAGGATATTGATGCTGACGGAGAAGGTAACCTAAGGACATTATCTAAATATTTTATGCTGTTATAGTGGCTCTTTCACAAGTCTGGCCTCACAGGGTTTCAAAATTACCTCCATAAGTCTTCACATGGATCTGTTATCATGTTGATTCTGTCGTCTGGTGATGTATGAACGCTGAAAAATTCTCCCACACTGAATATGGCAATGTTAGACTAAACTTTACCCTGCAGATGAGAGACTTAAAAAGGTAGTATAACTTTCTAGATACACTCTACCTTAAGTTGTCCCCTGCGTGATTAAATTTAGTTTATTATTGGCACAATCACAAAGTTAAATGTTCGCCAGTGTTTATTGTTAGTGTCCACTTAATGTACGTGCAATTACCTACAGGTTTTCAAAAGGTACAGTTGCCTGGTACAGCGACTGTTGTGTTTTGTAATGTAGCCCTAAGGAACGTTACAATAGTAGCCAGGCTAAGGACGATAAATAAGCATTACACAGAGTTGCTGCATCTCACAAAATGTACCAGCCACTGTACCTGTTAAAAACCTGTAGGTAACTGCACGAACATTAAGTGGACACTCACTAGACTACTGAATCAACGTGACAAGATATATAGCACAGTATCATTTAATGTTTAAACTGTACGAGGCCAGGCTTCTGTAACGCCCTACAAAGCAGCCAGGAATAACCGGTACTAAGGCCACTTGCTAGGTGTATCGATATAAAATTATGAGGTACAGTACATTACTTTATTTGTGATTCAATTAAGTTATTTTTCCACACTAGTAACTCTCTTCCCACTATGAGCCACAATGGTGAGGACAGAATCAAGAACATAACTTTTAACATCAAGGGGAAGGGCAGTACAATATGACTTTAGAACTACCCAAGTAAATACATTGGCCAATATATTAATAATAAAATTTGCTTCTAAACATCAGGAATGATATAATTGATACAAAAATAATAAATTTTTATGTTTTTCTTCCACGAGAACAACATTACTTCACCTTGAACATTCCAACCACTGGGCATCAATGGCAGGAAAATATTTGCAAATGTGAGAAAAAAATCTTAACTGAATCATTCATAAAGGACAAAAAAAAAATAGTAACACCATATTCATTTGTAAGTTTCTGCAACTCATTATGCACACACATATTTATATTTCCTATACTGTATATCTCTACCAAGTACAGTTGATATATGTACTGTATTTGCTATCTCTACCTCTGAGCATGATTATAAACTTCTGTGGTGTTAATCTGTGTGGATAAAAGTAGCTAAAGAAGTAACGAGTTCTTGTTATCCCAGGCAGGAACACACACACACATACACCTCCGCACGCAAGCACACACACACACACACACACACAAAACTGCTTTGGCAAAATGACTGAAATATGTAGATAGCAATTCTTAAGATTCATTATATTACAGTACATGTGTGTGTGTGTTGTAGTTACTGATGGATAAATAGAGGTCTGAGTTCAAGCTAAAATAATTCCCAGTAAACCACATGACTCCCTCTTGCGCTTTTATAATACAGTTCATGCGGAAAGAAAGAGCACCACGTTTACAGCACAAACACGTAAATCATTTAGTTACATCGGCTTGTATGCAACCTGAATCTAAAACTAATAAGAAAATGCAAATGAAGGAAGTTCTGTTTGAGTAATTACTGGATAAAAAAATATAAAATAAATAACTAAAAGCACGTAGTAACGACATGGATGACAAACTAACGTAACACTTGATGGTATTACTCTAACTCTCATGGACAAGTTGTAGCTTAAGTGAGCCACAAGAGAGAATGTTTGCAGACTGTTGTATTATATTGCCTATTACTGTACAATCTTTACACTCATAATTCCCATTACAATATTTGCTGACTATATTTCTCCTATTAGAGTATTTGCTGACTAATATATATCATATCAGAATATTTTCTAACTTTTGTTTTCCATTACCTACACAAACTTCCTTTACCTTGAGTATTTACACAGTTAAAGGTCAAAGAAATTATGCAACACAAAACTGTGAGCAATGTCCCTATCTCATATCAACATCTACTCTCGAATAGCACATAAAAATTACCACTACTCGCACCCATTAAATGTTTGAAAGAGTATACCCCAACAAGAGACTTCCTTGTATGTATATTCAAATATGTTTGGGGCTTTGGAAACTAAAAAATTCTATAAAAACAATAATATTAAAAAGTAATACATTGTAGACACACACAGAGATAGGTATACTGCGCTATCCACACCCAACCATACCACTGTCAAACAAACAAACAACAGGCTTGGAACTTCACGGAACCCATGGCTGTCATTGCACCGCTGGAGACAGGTCGTGATGCCTCTTTGACAATATAAAATACCGTCTTCAGCACCTGTGTGCTGTGACCCTCAGAAACTTGGACTGTTGTACCCTTTTCATGAATTTCTATGCAATGGTCCCCTCTCTTTGGTTGGATCTACACTAAAGCCCTGCACCATAACCCAGTACAATCCCTCAACATCAACATTCTTTTACGAACACAGTTATTTGGTGTTCCTTATCTTACTATCTATACTTGCTTGATCTTCACAATACTGTATTTGAATCATTTTACCTGTTGGGGGACAATCCAAACTTTCACATATCAATTATTACAAATTCATTATGTAATCAGCAAGTAATGTGTGGTAGACTGAGTCACTGATGATCACTAATGAAGAGACTCACAAGGGAACAGTACAAGGAGCTTCATTGTGTACATTCCCCACGGGACCATCTTGCTCCCTCTAATATGTCTTGTGTAGTCCCCTTACAATGACAACAAAATGCCAAACTTTCCATTAATCATGCATGACAAATACCTCAGTATATCCCATTTTTATGACTTCTAACTTATCTCTCATTATATGGTACAGCCAAAGCAATATTTTTTGGCATACGTTATAAATTATAATATTGGAAGTCATCGGCACTCCAGCTTGTAACCGACATACTTGGAGAAAATTCTAAAAATTCCACCCTGCTTTGCTGTGATAAAGAGGAAGCACTAACAAATAAGGACAAACAGATGAGATTGATAAATAATAACTACTACTTATGTTCTAAGCAAACAAAATTGAACAATGCACTAACAAATGTTGGTTGTCTGACACTATAATGTGTGGACATATGCGGTGTTAACCTGAGTGCTGAGGCAAGAATAACAAGTGCCCTGCAGTAGGTAAATGTATATATATTATTAGCCTAACATATATACAGTATATACATAATGTATACGATTTCAAACCCATTTCTTGCACTATAATACTCATCCTCAGGTCATTACATACAGTTACATATACAATGTTTTCTAAACACTGCATTTACTGCACACTTGCTATTATGCATATGTTCTTGTTTAATGACAAACAAATAAATGACAAAAATATATCTACTTATCTCTAACACGGAAGGAAGAAATATTTTGGTAGAGCACAATAAAGAGATTACCCTGCTTACTACTACTACAAAATAGAGAAGCACTTTGTGTTTGTTATTCAGGAACTCTGGCCTCTTAATCATGGGTGCAACAAGGAGCTGGTACAGTAAAGTACTGAACTCTTAACCTGCTACTGTATAGTGTCCTCAGAGCTGGTCCTGAGTCATATAAAGGCCTTGGACTACTTGAGCCAGATAGCCTGAGGGGATGAGGCTACCTCACTCGCTGACAAATGAAAAAATGAGTTTTAAGTATATTATATTCTGAGGAAAAAAGGGACAAAACAAAGGAAAAATTATGACAATAATAATAATAAGGCTGCGTTCATCCACATTTGTCTCCAATGTAGTGAAACTTTATAAGAGTACTGTATATAGTTTGAAAAGCTTACAGATTCCTGAGTGATGGTTGGTAGTGTTGTAACTGCCTCACAATTAACATGGGTTATCAACAGCTAAAAGGAATCTGTGAAGTTTCAAATTGTACATGATGTAAGGTTCTTCACACCTGGATTAATAGTGATGTGTGACTTTGTATGCTCACTAATTGATATCATGAGTAAGGATCAGTCTGTTCTATATGCAACTACTGATCTCTTTATCTTATAGTGCAGCAGGAGGAGCTAATATCTAAATATTCTCTGGAATCTGTTTTCAATATTTACTGGCGAGGGAATCTGAAAAGCTTCAAGAATTAATTCTGCCACCATTCATCACTAACAAGATGGCAGGATGTCCTGGAAATATTGTATCTGGACAGAAATTATGCCCTTCAATCTTGACTAAGGAAAGTGGCAGGGAAAGTAGGAAGTGTGCATCCTTTCTGTTGTAAAAGTTTTTGAGCTGTCCACGTGCCACAGTCAAGGCACTTGTCAAGAGGCTGCCCTGTGCTTAAAGCAGCCAAAAACCCTCCTACAAACGAGTCACCCGCACCAGTCGTGTCTACAATGTCTTTAGGTGATATTGGGGGTACTGGACGTTCTCTAACTTCATGACTGTGCACATACAAAAGAGGATTTGGGCCCTTTGTTACAACCACAAGTTTCTGCTTTCTATCATTTACCGGACATAAAGAATCACAGCCATGACCATTAATCATACCATTACATAAACCTGTTGTGGTTCCATTGGTGTCAACACGATCCTTGTGATGAAGATGATTACCAGTGTCAGATATCTTTAAGGAGTCAAGTTTGGCCACTTCCCTCAGTTCTTCACACACATATTTAACATTGTCCTTTATGATTTTTTCCTCACCTTTAATTGCTCTTAACACCTGTAAAATATCATGGGTTATGTTGTTTGGGTTATTCTTCAGATTGGACGACACTTTCTGGATGTCAACAAACTTATCCAAGGTCTTGTACTCTTCAACAAACCCGAACAGGATGTCCACGTACGGCAGGAGTTCTGCTAATTCGTTGGGATGGTTTTCACACACGTAACTTCCACACAGATTAAATACAAAAGTTTTTCCTTTTTTCTGAGCATATTTGGCAATCTGGGGAAAAAACAGGAAATTAGATACTGAAACATACCAATACCTTGCAACTCTATGATATTACACCAGTTTTGAAAAATAGGTAATTTGGCTGTACATGAAGTCTTTCGATAGAAAGAAAAAAGTAATTTGTACTTTTGAGCACATGAGACAGGAAGGTGACCAGGAAGATGGTGCAGTAGTACAGTACTTCTTAGAAATCTATTATTGTTCACTGTAGAAAAGGCATAAATATTTTTCAAAGTTAATATTGATTTGAGACAGGCCATTTTAATTCAACTGGGAGCACTCTGGACTCTTTAACTAATATGGAGCTGATTCAGCTCTTACAACCATGTTGGGGTAACTGGACGATGTTTTTGTGTATGATGTGCACTAACCATCCTCTCTGTCAACAGCTAACACTAAGCTAACCTTCATCACCATGACATTGTTGCCACCATACATAACTGTGGGAAACACCTCAAAGGATATTAACTTTTGAATCTGAGACTGACACATTTCTACAAAGAATCCCACTTATTTGAAAAATAAACTGATAAATTATGTCAAAGACCATACAGTACCTGTAGAGTTGTACGGAAACTGTGGGTGATGAAATATCCTTCTACATAAACAAACTTGGCAGGTTCTAAGACAGGAAAGAGGTTGAGGTTAAACACATGGTGTGGTTCACACACGTTAGCTGCGCCAATGTCAGCACACAGGCACCGGCAGGCTCCTAAAACCAGTGCCACACACATGCCTGTGGGTTGGTCCTCTACATCCACAAATCTGTAAAATACATTAAAGAAGATTATGTAATGTACAGTACTGTATTGCCTATAGTACAGAAATTAAACAGATATTAAACAATCAGAAATTTACACTAAATTCATTTGAATGTACACACCCATGACTCAGCAAGGTTGTGACCAAACCATCAATTACGTTTTGTCAGCATCAACAGGTGGACCAGTGGTCTCCCAGTGTTAATGAATCTCAAGTACCTGATATCTAAAATTATTTCTTCTCATCAATAAGTAAATAATGCAGACATAGACGTCACCAACGAACACAAAGTCATGAGAACTTCTCATTAAAAAAGTAGATAAATTTCAAATCTCAAAAGCCAGAGTAGGGAAGTATAAGTGACATATGTGTGTTGCTCAATAAGTGATTACTGTACGTCCTTGTTAACAGGTAAAGACCCAGACCACATTCATGAGTTTACTCAAGAAACAAAGACCAAGACACACACATGATAACACAGCAACACCTCCTTGGATCAGATAGGAGCTGTAGTGTATTTATGTTTGTTAGAAAATTCTGTGTTAATGGTGAACATTAAAGACAGTGTGCAATTGTCCTTCATAATGAGAGAGAGAGAGAGAGAAAGAGAGAGAGAGTGTGTGTGTGTGTGTGTGTGTGTGTGTGTGTGTGTGTGTGTGTACTCTAGAATACTACAATACAAAACACTGACCCACCTTGTAACAACTCCACTGTCTTTTATGATTGCAGAGAGTTTGTTGGCCTGTTCATCCTTGCCGATCCCCCCGACAAAGACGACTCTCTCTGGCTCGCCCAACACCCAGCAAAATACACGAGATGAATTGAGCGCACAACCTCCTGCCGTGTACTCTACTGGATACCTGGAGGGGATGGGGGGGTTAGTTATACTGTTATTCAACCTTTATTCAGTTTTCATTCTTTTAAACCATTTCCCTGTAGAGTGTCTTGATAAGGTGTAGTCTTTAAAGTATCAGAAGGCTCAACAAGCCATCCTTATACTTTCATATTAGACTGGTGGTCACACACTATAACTGTCCGATTCCTTGACCACCTCGACACTGTAATGTATATTCGTCATGTATTGCGCAGAGGTTTATATACCTCCGCAAAGGGCAGCTATACAATCAACACCAACACAGTCTCTCCGATCTTTCATGCTCTCTGACTGATGTTAAGACACGTTTTTCTACCATATTCATCCTCTTCCACAACACACTCCCAGGACTTCCTCCAGTTTATCTCTCACTTCATATAACCAATCCTCAGCCAGTCATCCCCACCCCATAGTGACTATAACTACTGTATACTTCCTTCATGATGTACATGAGTAATAGTGACCACAACTACTTACTTCACACCTGTATATAAGTTAAATAACAAAAGACAATCGGCCGTCTTACTTTTTCATGACGAGGCTGAATAAAGCTCGTTGCTGGTCGGTGATTTCTAACTGGCCGTCCACCGGGAGCTGGAATTCGTCGTGCAGACCTCTGTCCTTAACCACGGCAGTAATGTCCAGCAGAGGGTTGCCAAATGCCACAAGTAAGGGCTGGGGTTTGACCTCATTCTATAATAAAAAGAACACAGTATCTTAATTATCCAAATCAACACAAATAACTAAAATCTTAATCATAAAATAAATCCAAGACCCGACACAATCCTATGCAACACAATGCCTTTCCCTATACAGTACTGTATTTCAGGTACAACACACCTTAAGAAATAATGAAGATCATCTTGGTAAATATAAACCTGAGAAAGGATCACAAGTAAACTGTATAAAGAAAGATGGAAGCAGAACTAAGAAGGAAGTGCAAAAGATAAAGGCACTGTGAAACCTCTATACTATATATGGAGAGGAAAGTGTGTTATATCGAGGGTCTGTTAGATACCTAAACCTCCATCTAACTAACTATATAGAGATGAAAAATCCTTTACATCGAGGGTCCGTTAGATGTGAAACTTTAACTTTAACGGTTGGTACTATACTGTATATAGTCAGCGAGCACTTGACAGATCACTTAACTATGGATATGTAAGCAACTCTGTTTTGTTGCTATATGTACAGTTGCAGCCAAATCTCCCTCAACACTTGACATCACTGTAGCTAATTGGTTCAGTGTCTACTAGTGGGGTACATGTAGTGGGTCTATACTGAGGTGGGGGACACAGCTGCTTATCATCGCATATTACGTCACAAAAACAACAAGAAATAAACACTATAATGTAAAGAAGAATGAGAATAAATTAATGTTAAACACAACATCCGTTTACTGTACCTACATGACTATTAACAGCATGGCAGAAAATATCACCTGTACTAAATTGAGCTGAGAAAAATTTTTTAAGCAACATTATACAGTATCTAACTCATGTTCAAATGCACACAATAACTCCTACAAAAGCTTAGTTAAGAAAAGCAATCAATCAGCACCTTTCACAGCTACTCCGATGTGTGAAAACAATCGGGTAAGAACATTGATAAAGACTTCCCCTCTCAGAATCCTTATCTAATCAGTTTTGTGGTATAGTTCCAGCTCACAATTCTTTCATAAATAAACAAAAAAATACTGTACTAACATATATAAAGGAGTTATGAAGACGAATTATTTAAATTATAATTAAAACATGAATAGTTATGGGAAAATTAACTTAGTTGTGACTCTATAGCTCGAGCATGAGCAATATAGCAACTTCCTAGGGTAAGCTACTTTGAAGAGTTAAAAAATCTTCCTACAGCTCAAGATTCCCGAGGTTTGAATGTGTACTAAAACTACCCTGACTTACTACAACTGCTGAAGTATTAATCTTAAATATGATACTGATCTAAAATTAATTACTGTAGTACCAGGAACATTAAAAAAAAATCAAGCATCGTTTCTACCCAGTACTGTACAGTACAGTAGTTTGCCAAGTGATGACTCTCAAACTTCAAAAATCGTTCAGTTCATCCATTAACTTACGAGACAATGAGTCATTAACATTTTAGTCCGTCAAGTCAACCCATCTCTAAACCCATTTAATTTATATATTAGAAACAAGTCAGTTCACTAAAGAGTCAGTTAGTTCACAAATCTGGCAGTTAGTTTGTTACATTAGTATTCTGCAGTCTACCAAATGCATAACATTGGTTGATAATCTTTCCACGATGCTTCAACAAAACATAGAGCACAGGTATGATCGTGGGGCTGGGGAGGAAGAAGACAGACACCCCACTTACAGTTTTGTTTTGTAAGCCAATCTAAGCAAATTACAGTGACCCCTCCATTAACGAACTCAATCCGTTCCAGAAGGTCGTTCGTTAACCGAAACCATTGTTTCAATGGGTTTTTGAGTAATTGGTTCCAGCTCACCGAAAATTTCCTAAATTCAACAAAAATGGTAGAAAAGTTCACTTACTTTGAGGTGTGTATGTAGAAAGCTCCTGGATGATGATGATGATGATGATGGGATTTAGAATGGGGGTGGAGGAGAAGGAAGAAGAGAAAGCATTGGGGTGGAAGAGAAGTCACCCCATGGCGCCATTTCACCCATAAAATTTTAGCTCTTTGGTGTAATTCAAGATTATTTTCTTTAAATCAACACTGCACTGCATTATATATTGTCAATATGTAAAATAGATTTCAAAATGACCAATAATTTGCCTGGAAACACAGAAAAAAAGCGTTTAGTTGAAGAGTCTCAAGCAAGATGTTACCTCCAGTGAAAACAGAGAGAGACTAACTCCTGTTTGCTGTGTTAAGAGGCTGGATGCCGCGCATTAAACTAGTCACTTTACCTTCAATTATGTTCAATAATTGTTAAAATGACTAAAAAATTGAATATTAAACTTTTAAAATTATTGAATAGTATAAACTTCTTGATATTTACTAAAATAGTAAGGAATTTAAGCCCAAGAACCGATTAATGTATTGGCGGACTGATACTAAAGCTGGTTGCCTGGTCAGTGCAAGCGAAAACATGTTGAGGTCGGTTCGTAAGAACTTCGTTAACCGAATTTTTTTTCGTTAACTGAATTGAAGATCCTTATGGAAGGCAGTTCGTTAATCGAAATTACGTTAACCGAGGTGTTCGTTAAACGAGGGGTCACTGTATATACACTAAGTTATATAACATTAGACTTTAATCACTGGGTCACTAAACACATGCTGACAATGAAAAAAAATTTTTTTTATAATATTGTACTTTTATTAAGGATCATTACACCAGTTCCTCCCATTAAATATGAAATAATGTAAGGAAAGTAGATATTAAATAATTTTCCTCATCACTACACTACTGTACCACCATACATTATCATTGTCCACATTCTTGAAAGTCGAATTTACTTTAAAAAGAATCTTCAACAGGTTATCACCCCTCTCCAATGGGGGTATATACAGCTCACTCCCACTTTGTTTTCTTCAGTTAACCATTAAACGGGTTGGGCCTGTGAGCAGCATATTGCACCAGGCTTGTTGCACCCAGAACCTGTACCGCCTCAGGCCAAACTACTATATGTACTCACCCCAGTTATCTCCAATTACACCAGGTTGCCAGATGATGATTATTTAGTCTACATCATCTCTGCAGTAAAATTAGTGGTGCTTAAAATTCCTATTCACAAACAGTACTAGATCAGTTACAAAGGAACTAAATTGACAACACCCGGGTATACTGAGGCACCTGACCACTGGATTCTGAGCCCGTCACACAAGATAATGTTTTATTAATATTAATGCTACAGTTAGTTAGGTCAGTTAATGGGGGCAATACACCAACCACTTGTTCCTTTACTTAAGAGTATGAATCTCTTCTGTAACTCCTACTGGTAAAAATATGAATATTAATTTTGTACATTCATTCGGGTGAGTATCATGACTTCTCTATACTGTCCAGTATTTGGGACAATAGACTCCCTCAAACTTAAAAAAACTAGAGTCAATTAATATTTTCCAACTCCACTTGTATTTTACACACAGACATTGTTATATTCTCTACACCCTTAACTTCTTCACTACAGGGATGCCACTTTAAGTATTTTACTTGCCTGACAAATTTATGCAGTGCAGAGCCTCATACACAAGGGGTTAAAAATAAAACAGACAAACACATACACAAAATAAATCTTCTACAAGACCTTATGAAAGGAAGGGAGAAAAGATAAGTGTTTTCATTGTTATCATCAAGTACCTGTACTTAACAAGAGTGTAATCACCGGATACAGTACAGTACTGTTGTCTCATTATGTAAACAGCCACTGAAATTAATAACAAATAAGCTGATAAAACATCTGTCAGATAAAAATTAATATTGTCATTTATCCAAAGTTAACTCCAAACTTATTTTACCTTAGGATTATACAGTACACCCTGACACTATATGTGGGGTAGCTAATGTTATGTTTGGCTGACGTTAAGATGTTTAATCATTGGGTGAAATAAACTTCTCATGATCCAAACTCTTCTATTTAACAATGAGAACAAATCTGACACCAACTATTTTATACATATTCAGTTTGCTTCATTAGGAGAGTTTCGTGTAAGAAATAGTGAAGTGACAACATCAATCACTGTGCCTTCCCTATCAATGTCAAACAACCAATCCTGAGCCATTAATAGGTATTACATCCAACATTAAATTTCAGTTGACTATATCCGACAAACAGTTTCTCACTTGTGTCTCACTTTATAATGTTCTTGATAAATATGCCTTCTCCTCTCTGTCTTTCTAAATGCAAACTTAAAGCTCTACATAATTAGAGAATAAAATAAAATACTTGTATAATAATAATGTTTTAACTTCCCAATCTCCAACAGTCACACAGAGCAATTCATTCATTCATTTTTTCTACTCCCAAAACTCTGCTCATTTCATCATTACCAACCAGTATAGCTCTAAGAAATCAAGGTTACTTTACCTTTTTTTACTGTTTATGTCAATGAAAGTAACCCTGTTTGTTTTTTGTTATATTAAAAACTTTATACTTATTTCCAGTGACTAAAAACACTCCTGACTGCCAAAACTTTATTATCTTCATCATTCTCTTAACTTTAAGTCTTCCTCCTGTACAATAAAGAAGGTTTAGACATATCCCAAACTACAGCACAGTACTGTATCCCATTCTCACTTTCACCTCTCACGTACAGTATTGCCCCATCCATACTACTGTACTGAGCAGCCATGGTAAAGGTAATATTTCACAACTCTGGCACACTTCCACATTATAAGTCCAGCTGCCTTACTTGGATATCTAAGTACAATCCTGCTACACACTCAGATATACAAAACATTACACTAAACTATATTATACACTACAGAAATTATAATGTTTTCCAAAATTTTAACGCAGAAATTTTTGGGGGGTTGCCATACTACTGTACTGTACCTAATCTTTAGATATTCCTAATAACATTTACTATTACATTGTACAACATTTCACTTCTTTCCATTTCATTTAAAAAAGCAATTTAGCTCCATGCATTAAAAATGGCTTCCCTGTTATATTCAGGCCTCTTAACTTTACATTCCTCTTATTTCTGAAGGTAAAATGAACACTACACATCAGTATTAATCTTTTTCCTCTTCCTGGTGACTACTATATGTGACCTAAATACAGTACAGTACAAAGTTTATGTAATTATGTTTCTGTATACTGTATCACTCTAATCTCAAACAAGCTCATCTCTTCACCTACATAGTTACCAGTACAACATCAACATGTATACACTTGTTCAGGTCATAACCTTTACTTAACGTCTCAGAGCAGGATTAAAGCAAATATCAGGTTTGGTGGCTCTCAATCTTACCACAAATTTTATGCATTAACTAGTGGAATTATATACAGTACATGTATTGTGAAATATATATTTTCTATTGAATACACTGTACTGAACTGTATAGTTATTCAAGGTGAACATCCTTGAACACCTGTCAAGCAAGTGTAGTGGAACCCAGTTAATATCGTGATGTGAAGCATAAAAAAGTGACACAAGTATTAAGAAAGTCTGACCTTGACTGTTTGTTGGTCAAGGTGCACTTACTCACTCATAAGAACTGTTCTATATTAAGCAGTGTAGCACAGTACTGTACTAATACAACAAAACGCTGTTCACTGTAAACATTTATTTGAATAAAAGAGATATGTAGCAGTTATGATCAGTCAGAGTCAACTGCTGTCCAACACATACAGATCTTCAGTAACCTGTTCACCCACTGCACTTTCACGTTTTGTCTAGTGAATTAAAAATCAATTAAAATTAAAGTTAAACTCAAAAATATATTATATAGTGTACAGAACATGGTAGGGATCACCTTAGATTCATGCCCGAGCTCAATACACCTGAAAATTAACCTCTCTAGTGCTACCGTTAGGGTTAGGTTAGTAGTGTTAACATTAGGGTCATTAACCTTCTGGTAAAAAAAATGGGCAGGAAGCAAATCTTCAGTAATTCCATCATACTGTACATTAATATGTCATGAATGCTTCTGTGTGAAACTAACCTAACCATGAGACATGACTGGTGACTGACACTACAATATATACATAGAAGAATGCATATAGCCAGTCCTTTATATACATAATAACTTATTACTTACAGTCCACAAGAAGTCAAATGTGCCACCATCACACTGTACTGTCATGGCTCCTCGTGCACCCCATAAGCATTTAACAACCACAGGTCATTCCTACATACAGCAACAGTACTTTATATATTGTATGCTTTTATCCTAGTCTGGTCTTTCTTTGATTGATCAAGTTACATAAACATGTTTACTGTTACGGCAAGACATGTAATTCAATAAGCACTGTAATTCAACCACCAAGAAGAATTATGATAGGATCATCACGTATTGAATGAAAGAGTACCATACATGTTGACAAACTAATATCACGTGCCAAGGTTGGCCTACACGCGTCCTGGACATGTGCCAGCCAAAACTTACATTCATAACAAACGCCCTCGATCAGCTGATGGCATCAACTTCAACAAATGTTTCATTTTCTTCTTCAACTGTACATTACTCGGGCACATTCCTCGTTGTCCCACTCCTGGATAACGTTATATAACCAACAACAATTACATTTACTGTACCCACCTGACCGTCCATTGTGGGGGAAATGTTATAGGAGGAGCCGTAGAAGGCGTGACGGCGGCTGAGAGAACTGTGGCACTGGCAGGGGACACCCAGGGTCGCCGCGGACGGTCGCCGCTTTGTTTACACGTTGCCTGGCAACACGCCGGCGCGATGGTTCTCTTCATGACGAGACGTGCATCACCTCGCGTCCTGCAAACATGCAATGAGGCGGTAACCACGCCCACACACGCCACCAATATCATGAACACCCTTCGCTACGCAGCACCTGCAACCTACTGGTTTTCCTGTTTCATCTTGTACTGTAAGTTTTACTCGAGTAAACAATCTGTGACGGCCTGACAGCCATAACTTGTTGAAGCTTTATGTCTCGCCAGATTCTTCTTCCATGTTTCAAACCATCTCTTACTACACATAACAAGAATATAAATCTTAAAACAATTATACTGATGATATCATACCACACAAACACAGGTTTTGCATAATGATTATACATATGCATAATTTTAGACCACACTAATGAGCAGTACATTCCAGTATACTTCTATTATTATTTTACAGAATCACATCATATAAGATCCAACTTGTAGAAGCATACATCATCAAGTCTTAATATAGTGATGTATCTTTCCTATAAGAGAGTTTATTTGTGGCTGTATGTCGTAGGGTACTGTGGGCGGGTTTCTCAGGGCAAGTGGCCAACTTTGTGCATAAAGTCAGAGGCGTTTTGAAACAATATGAATCACCTGAAGACTGTCCTCCCTCAAAACTTATTTCCCCTTAAGATTAACCATCCTAACACTAACGTAACCAAACCTAACCTCACCAGATAACGTTAGGGTGTTTAATCATCCGGTGATATAAACCGGGAAGTGCGGTTAATCTTAATGTGATTCCAGAGGTGTTCTGATACCGAACGTCTTGGTGTGCGTAATCACTGTAGTGGATGGTATAGTATCAGCACTAATCCTCGTACATGTCCTCGGTCACATTATGTATACACTGTTAATAGATTATTGCTTGGACGCTGTAGCCTATAATCGTAAGCGTCATTATCAGTAAATCAGAAACACAAATACTGTATTGTAAATCGTAATGGAATCACCTGACGATTAGTTTATGTTAGGTTAGCGTTAGGGTGGATAATCTTCAGGTGAAATAAGCTTAAGCTTACCTTCAGATGATCTCCGAAATGTGTCTCATATACAAGTTACAATTGAACCAATGTATATATATATATATATATATATATATATATATATATATATATATATATATATATATATATATATATATATATATATAAACAATACACGTGTACAGTTCATCATGCATATACAGTAGATAACACAAGTATACAATGTACACATGACCGTGAATATATATAACGCTCCTAAACAATATGGGCATACAAACAATGGTTAACAGTAAGGCAGACCAACCAAGAATAATCAACAACAAACCTATCAGATGTTCATTCCTAGGAGCAACTCATTTTGATATTATTTTGTCCACACACTAAGACTTGTTTCTCAGCTTCATCTGATAAAATGAGGTTGTCACCGTTGTTAGAATGCAACGAACTGCCTGACTTGATCTAAAACACATAAATAACGTTAGTCCAAACTCCAAAATATATTATCAACATTATACAGAGACTTTACTTGAACTTGATGCATCTATAAAGGATAAACCAACGTTAAGATAGATATGTGATCGTATTTAATTGAAGTAAAATACTTATATCCCGGGCATTAAGAACCTTGAGTTCAAAGACAGGCTCAAGCATCTTAATTTGCACTCCCTCGAGAGACGGAGAGTGAGGGGCGATATGATAGAGGTGTATAAATGGAAGTCAGGGCGAAACAAAGGTGACATTACAAAGGTACTCAAACTATCCAACCAGGAGCGAACTCGTAACACTGATTTTAAATGAGACAAATTTAGATTTAGGCGCGAAATAGGTAAACATTGGTTTGGAAATAGAGTACTGGATGAATGGAACAAGTTACCAAACACCATCATTGACAAAAAATACACTGGATACCTTCAAACACAGGTTGGATGGATATGTGAGCAATAAGGGTTTTGGGTTTAAATGGGACTGCCCAGTCTGAGCCAATAGGCCCGTTGCAGTTTCCTCCATTCTTATGTTCTTACATGTACAAAAATAAACGTGCATATTAATAATTTATGGTCAGGTGAGCAGCGCAACAACACAAGTACACAACACTGCACTAACAATACCACCTGTGACGTGACTTAAGACAGGTATGATCTCTCAACCACGTATTCACAGGCAGATGGCATTATTATGCAATCGCGTTCCTGTTGGTTAAGTGGCAATGTTGTGTGTAAACCATGGCCCCTGACCAGAAACTCTCATTCAATTATTATATCCGGGATAATGTGGTAGAATACTGTGGTAGTCGTGTGTTTCCTGTGTCAGTCCAGCATTCTTCAGCAATGCCTTGATCAACGATGCAACACTACACACCTGCACTGTCTGTATATTGCTTATATACGTGCACAGTCTATGTGTATTTCTTATATATTCTTTGTGTACCTGCATTATCTATGTACATTGTTTTTATACATGTTTTATCGATGGTACATGGTATGTCTGCACTGTCTATATATTATACATGCTACATCAATGTAAACGTGTAAGACAATTTTACTGAATGAATATTTGTCTGTCCATCTGTCTACCAATTGAAGGGAAAATGCGTCTTGGCAGCAATATTGAATCTATCCCTAAGTCAGTTTTGAATGAAACTTAATACTTTTACATATGGTAATAGTTAATACTTGTAAATATTTTGTGGTTAACAATTTTATATGATAATGGCTAATACCTGTACTGAGCTTGCTGCCAGTCCCAAACTATCGTACCGTAATGTATGAGAATCCGGATATTGCTGAGTCTGGTTACACGAACGTCAACACGCCATGACATAGCTGCGTCCTTCTCCTTCCTCCATTGACGTTACATGTAGGTCAGAAGGAGGGGTGTTAGGGAGGGAGGAGGGGTACCTTGTGGGGGTAAATAAAAGGGGAGGGGGGTACTGCGGCAGACTGGCAAGGGAAGATAGATAGCGTGTCAACTCCTCCTCCTTCCCCAACCCCCACCAGGTCACCATCAGGAAGGTCGCCTCTTCGCCCTCTGTCAGCTTGCAAGGGAAATTGGTTAGTTTGCTGGCATTACTTTTAAGTGCTGGGCACATGTACGGGCTCTTAATCGTATGGTATACGGTAATAATACCTGATCATATGCCAGAGTTGGTTGGTTGGTTAAGCCTTACAGGAAGGAGCTCGTTCACACCCTCTTAGATCAAACAAGTTTTAGCTCTTGAGTTTTTTGTTGTTGTTGTATACTGTTAGCTTCTTTAACTTGAGATGTACGCTTGAATACTTAATGCTGTTTGGGGTGCTTATAAACTGTGATCATCCCTCGTCCTACTGTAGTATAAGTTAAGCAACCGAAGACGTTCTTCTCTATTTTGGTGAGGAGTGCGGGCTAGTGGTGCTATTACATATTCTCAGAGCTACCTGGACTAGTGGAGCTATTACGTATAGTATACGCAAAGCTCTGTATTACTATGATCGTAAACACATTGATCTGCCCAATGCTCGACCAGTCGTCTCTTGGAGGTGTAGTGAGGTAGGCCACAGATGGGTCGTGGGAGGGAGGTCAGCACAGGTCATAATTATATTTCTGGGGCATATCACATACTTCTCCACGTCGTCCTCCATCTATCATACACAGTTAACGAAATTAATCTCAGTTAGAAAAGTTAATGTATTTTTTTCGTTAATCGTGGGGGAGATATATGACGTGTGTGTGGTGCTTCCCCATCCTTTCCCCACACGCCTCCCCCTCCCCCACGTACCCCGGTTACATTCGTCAAGATTAACCCGAATATTCCGGTGCCACCAACCAACGACACGTCAAGACTCACGAGACTCGACAGACCCAGAGATTCCTAAACGTTCCTACGGTAAATATCTCTCGTAACTGTAGGAATGAGATTTGTTACACGTTGACTTAAGTTAAAACACAAAAATAACATCCAAAAGTTACATCAAAATTATGCTGGCTGGTAAACTTTGTCTTGGATACGTTCACTTGGCGCCAAATCAAAGTAACGCTGATTTTTTTGGGGGGGAAAAGTTACTCTGCTTTAGTTTTTCCCAGTTAATACTATGTGAACGTAAGTAGTTAAGGTAGTTCCAGTATACATTTAATATATTTTTAACGTGATTTTTATGATTTATTAGCTTCAGTCAGTCAGGTGCAGTCGCGGTTTCCACCACCCTCGTTCTCTATGAACCTTTGAGACTCTTGGGCCCCAAAACCATCTTAGGATAATTCAATATCATTAATCCCAAAGTGAAAATAATCTGCCCAAAAATCATAGTAATTAAAATTAAATACAGTCTCCCTGGTGTTAAATAAAACCTGGTAAAAGTATTGTTTTGTTTAAGCTCAAGTTTGATAGGTATGTACAGTAGTAGCAAATCGTTCGGCTGGCAGCGAAGATTATTTACGTCGGTTTTTATTTGAAAGAAAATTAATTAATTAGGTCTGGGTAATTTTTTTTAGGTCATTTGTACTTTTTATCGTGTGAGCTATAACAATAATAATAACGATAATCACAATAACTATGATAATAATAATAATAATAATAATAATAATAATAATAATAATAATAATAATAAATGACAAAATAAATAGCTTAAAATCCTTAAATCTTCTAAAGAAAGTAAGGTAGGTGTCCATCTTTTTTTCTAGACAGTAAGAATGATCTTTGAAGTGAGTCTGGTCGCGTTATGGTAGAGGCTGATATGGTAGTTTTAATTCATGGCAGCTCATGATAATGGTGGTGTGTGTGTGTGTGTGTAAGAAGAAGGTGGTCCACATGTGCGTGTCAAAATGTGTGTGTGTGTGTTTAGTGGGTAGGGAGGGAGAAAGGAGGGAGGGAAGGTGATCACATGTGCGTGTTAGGATGTGTGTGTGTGACCACGCTTGTGTACACGAAGACACTACCTTGAGATTATGTATACGTCGGGTTATGTGCATCTATTGATCATGTGTACCTGGG